TGATGAAGTCTATTGAATATTATATTAAATAAAGGAATTATTATTATAATTCATAAATTTGTCTTTGAGATTGTATTAATTGTATTGCTAATAATACATTGCTCATAAACTTATCTTTGACTTTGTATTGCTAATAATATATTGTTTAATACATTTATTTTTAGTTTCGTATTGCTGATAATACGAATATTATATCTTATATTTGACTTTAAAGATTTAAAGACATTTTAATACATATATTATATTTGATATTAAGATTTTGAGAACTCTTTTTAGCAGTCCAGTTATTGCGTTAAAAGAATACAACTGTTATCAATCTTTAAGTGATTTTGTCACTAGTACTTTTAGTACTTATTCATATTCAGTCTAATAGTCATAAAGTATTATTAATACTTTAAATTGTCATTAAGACATCAGAAATTTCCCTTTGAATATTCCTTAAATTTTATAAATATCTTTGAGTATTTTGAAAGCCTCATCAAAACGGTAACAATATTATATATTTTTTGTTCATTTTAATATAAAAATTATTTGTAGTTAGATTTTTTAATAATAAAAGTAAAATTTTTAGCACTTGAAATATCACGTGTATTGTTTTTGATTGGTTGAATTTCATTATGTAAAATTGCATGATCATTTTTCATGAAAATTCTAATTAGCATGGCATATAATAACTTATTTGGAAATAATAATCCTTAAAAAAATTCAGCAGTGGTGCAGTATTTGATGTGACTAAGCGGGACGCACCATACAAGAAAACAAAAAAAGTAAAAAATACGGGAAACAGATGTCTAAATCTAACTTGATAAACTAATCAAAAATGTCGGGAAGACAATTTTATATATAATCTTGAACCCAGAGCTAACCTAACCCTAAACCTAACCTTTAAATTAATCTTTGACAATAATCTCTACTATCATAGAATTTTTCCGGATATAGACATTTTTTTTCACCATGACTAGGGTACTTTGCTGTTCTCGCATGATGCAACAGAAAAAAAACTAAGTCATACTAATATAAATTTTGTTTTCAGAGAGAAAGGAGGGTGAAAAAATAAAATAATAAAGGAGAGGAGGACGGGAGCAACCTTCTAGTATTGTAATAACGATAATCTTTAACATTATAAGCGAGAGATAAAATTTCCGCCAGATGACGATCATCGGAAATAGAGCTTGTTCCAATTTTTCTTGCGGACAAGAAAACCCCAAGCCTTAGCACGTCAAGTATTTGTTAATGAAACATTACCGAAAAGTAAACTTGTACGGCCACTACAAAAATATGTCACCAACAAAACAGTTTCGTCATGTGGAAAACTTTTTTTTTGCATTGGTTATATTCCTGAATTCGAGACTATAAATCCTGTTGTGTCGGCATTGCCAATGTTATAAGTATTATGGCTATAAAGGATGGCTTTGAAGCTTGGAAGCATCATGTGATAGACAAGACTTTAAGACATGGACACTTCAAATTGGCGAAATTATAATTATCCTGATTATTCAATGTCAGCATATAAAATCATTGTTTACGCGAATCAATACAAAGATCTGACTAAAGTAGAGAACCAAAATGACAAGAGACTCTTTGGAAAAGATGTGCGAGTGAGCAATTTCATTAACTTAAAACGATGACTTTACTCCAGCTGGTAATTTATATTTCTTTGGCAATCTTCCGTCTTTCTATTAATTTGATAATTATCCTTTATCATAATCATTAGATGTTGTTTCACCATCAAGATTTTTAGTTTCAACATAAGGAATTCAGATGTGGAAGTATAAGAAATTTAAAAATTCGACAAACAGTTCCAAAACAGATCACTACATCGAAAGACTGCGCATCTATTAAATTCTTTTTCTGTTGTTTCTGTGTTCTAAAATTCGACAATTATTGTAGTAAACAATCCGTCGCATTATTGGCAATACTCGTGATTATTGGAACCCAACTACAGTAGTGGGTGGCTTATTGTGCGAGTACATCAATGAGAGGTCACGCCTCTGTTCCGAGGAAGAATCTGTACAAGAAATCAATGAAGAGTTGTTTGACTTTTCTCGCCGACGAAGCCTACACAAGTAAAGTAAGGATTTGATAATTTACACAAGTTAGAACACCTTTTTTTATTAATATTTTTCACATTTGTTCTTTGTGCCATGACATCTTTGAAAAAATACAATGCATCTACGCTCTTAAAGTATGCAAAAGCGTTTGTTTGACCTTGAGGAATCGAGATGTTAATGCGGCAAGGAACATCCGTGATATCTTTATTCATATGTATCAAAATGGTGGAGACCAGAAATTTTTACACGTGAATTTCATAGAACATAAAATAATAGTTCTCTATTCTACTCAGGAACCGAGCGGAAGTTAATGAGGGTAACCGCTTTACCTAGTTTCGAGTAAAGGCAATGACGGTTTTTTGGTTAGACTTTATATGAAGCTTGGTGTAACCCAGTGGCGCATTTTCTTATGTATAGGGTCAAAAACCAATGTCACGTGGAAGCGTGACATTAGCGTCAGAGTCTATTAATTAATATTATAGCCACGGCAAAGAAAAGTGTCGGTCGCGTGATGGTAATCAGATCCAACCAATAAGAATGCGCAAAAATTCTGCGCAACCAATAGGAGTGTAGCAATTTTTTGATCAACCCGGCAAAACAAATCCGACACAAGAAAATAAAAGACAAAAAATGCGAAAAATACAAAAACAGATATCTAAATCTAGCTCGGCACACTATCAAAAAAATGTCGGGGAGACAATTTTATATATAGTTTTGATTTCAGCTCTAACCCTAACCCTAATATTTGATATATAATATTAATCGGATATTTTAATGTATCACCACGTGACCGACACTTTGCCGTGGCTAGGGTATTACTATTAATAACGATGGAGAGATAATGATAATCAGGGGAGAGACCAATAAATCGAATATGCGTACTACCACCATAACCCCTTTTTTTGAACATATGGATAGAACTGAGAAATTATCATTCGTATATAAGACGACGCCGTTCACCACTCCTGGGTGATAACAACAGACAGATTCTATCTATATTCGCTATGATTTATATATTTCGTTCGTAACTTAACCTTTTCTAGTGTTCTTATATCAAAGATAAAAAACTCTTGATTTTCAAATATTAAACCTCCTAATAAAAACCAAGAACAAGATACAATTTGAGTTACACATTCAGGAATTTAGTAAAACTTTACAATGTCTTCGACAATTTTGGGCACTCAATTTCCGTCACCACCAGCTAGGCCTACTCCACCCAGTAGTGAAGCAGGCTCTGGTACCAACGGGCTCGGAGAAAATCGAAGCAATACACTATTCGGAGGTATTATAACCAATGGGTTATCAAAAGTTAATAATGACAACCACCTACCCGTGTCACCTACCTCGCCTTCTACTCGTGACTTTTCAAGATCTGCTGTACCGCATTTGAGAAGGTTATCAACGTTGTCGGGAAAAAAAGATTTTTCAGATTTGACTGATTTAAATATACCAACTATCACAGAAAATCGAGAGGATGTTACTGGTATGTCAATTTTATAAAAGAATAGGATATATATTGAACTAATGGTGATGATTGGGGAATGAATATAAAGTGCATTAATAAGTGATCAATGCACCGTTATTATAAAAAAATTGTAAGGTTATCTTGATTAATCGCGAATATTTTGATGATAGGTCTAAAAGGTCGTATCAGACTGCAAAAAGACTCTTCGCGGAGAAATTCGCGAACATGGATGGATCAACAACGTAAAAACATTCAAGCTTATGAGTATTTGTGTCATATTGGGGAGGCTAAAGAGTATGTATTATATTTAATAATTCATTGTAGTTACCTTCTAATATATACTTATTGTTACTACCAACAAAAAGATGGATCGAAGCATGTGTAGCTGAAGAAATTGAACCAATTGTAGAATTAGAAGAATCATTACGCAATGGGATTGTGTTAGCAAAATTAGCTAAATCCTTTGAACCTACGGTCGTGCGAAGAATATTCACGGCTCCAAAATTACAGTTTCGACATTCGGATAATATCAATTTCTTTTTCATAGCAATCAGGAGAGTTGGATTACCCGATGTGAGTATAATAAAAAATATTAAATTTCGAGTATTTGAATGAGAGACAATTTATCATCTATTTATCAATTCAAATAGATATTTTGGTTTGAATTGACTGATCTTTATGAAAAGAAGAACATACCACGTGTTATTTATTGTATTCATGCTTTAAGGTAATGATTATTTATTTGTACATTTATTTTGCGAAATCTTATGATGTTGCTACATAATATTTTTTTTATTTTAGTCATTTATTGTCAAGGCGAGGAAAAACACCTCAAATTCGAAATCTGATAGGGAAATTGGAGTTTACTGGTAATTCTTATCCCATCGTCATCCTAAATTATGTTGATTTATCGCATCTTGTTGATCATTCACTTATTTAAAATTGACAGAGGAACAATTATCATTGACGCAACGAGGATTAGACGCATCCGGCATCATTATGCCTAGTTTTGCAAACGTGGGTCATGCATTAGCCGCTGAATTGAATGAATTTGTAGAAGAGCCAAAAGAGACAGATGAAGAAAGTATGTTACATGGTGCATTGTTTTGCTCTATTTTTTTTATTTTATATTTATTCTTGACATGATATCTACGATAAATAGAAAACAGGCGATATTGGAATGAGAATCTGGAGAAAATAATCAAATGCCAAGCATATATAAGAGCACATCTTGCTCGACATCAATTTCGCGAAATATATGAATTTTATCGATCCGCGGAACCATTTGTAATTCGGTTACAAGCGCAAACTCGAGGTTGGATTGTGCGTAGTGAATGGAATCAACGAAAACAGCAATTGGATGAATTAGAAAAATGGGCAATAAAAGTACATTAATTCGTTTTTATCGAGTTTCTCATAATTTATTTAGTGCATATTTATCTAATTCATTTTATATAATAGTTTCAAGCACATGTGCGCGGCTCGATTGCAAGAAGAAAATTCCGAGATAGATTAAATTATTTTCGCGAAAATATTGCCAAAGTTGTCAAAATTCAAAGTATATACCGAGCCAAAAAGGATGGAGATGCTTATCGTAGTTTAAGTAAGTTTATTTGAGTAAAAAGATCACCATTCTTTAATATTCAATTATTTAAAATGAAATAAAATAATATTAAAAGCGATGGGAAGCAATCCGCCGATCGGAACTATTAAAAACTTTATACATTTACTGAATGATAGCGATTTCGATTTTGAAGAAGAGATTAGTAAGTAGACATGGTTTTTTTTATGGAAAAGTATACTTATAATTAATCTAACCATCTGTTTATGGTTTTTTATTAATAAAGAAATCGAACGTCTTCGACAAGATGTAATCCAAAGAATTAGAACTAATAATCAATCAGAGAAACTTTTAAATAAATTGGACATTAAAATTGCATTACTAGTAAAAAATCGTATAACTTTAGATGAAGTGATAGCAGTGGCTAACCCCAAAAAACGACAGCAACGTCTATCGCAACTTCAATCACCTGGTGGTCCATTCTCATTAAAATCTCTCGATAAAGAATCTCGACAACGATTAGAACTATATCAACAATTTTTCTATTTCTTACAGACTAAACCCGTGTATTTGGCTCGTTTGTTTTTCATCATGAATAAAGCTCGATTACCGGATAAAACGAAAAAAATGGTGGAAGGAGTCGTTTTGACGTTGTTTGGATACGCACAAAATGCCAGGGAGGAGTTTTTGTTGCTGAAATTGTTTCAACGTAGTATTTGGGAAGAGTTGGAGAGTGTCGATACGTTGCAAGAATTTATGAGGGGAAATTTTATGTTTATGAAGTTGGTGGTTCAATATAACCGGTAAGTATGCGATTTGTTATTGTATTAAACATGTCTTTATCGTATTAATTAATTAATTCATTGTTTTAATCATATCAAAAGTGGTGCAAAGGAGCGTAAATTTTTACGTGAATTACTAGGACCTATGGTGAAAAGTGTAATGGATGATTATATGGATTTAGAAACTGATCCCCTAATGGTACTTATTATCATTATTAGTATTATTAGTATTATTATTATAATGTTTTGAACTAAATAATTATAATCATAATTCTTTATAGATTTATCGGAACTTGGTTAATGCCGAAGAATTACGTTCTGGACAAACATCATCTCGACCGACTGATATAACCCAAACAGAAGCATTAAATGATCCTGAAACAAGAACTGTGTTTATTCATCATCTTCAACGTCTGCGAAAAGAAACCGAGATGTTTCTAAATGCCATCATTTCATCATTACCGAAAATCCCATACGGTATTCGATACATTTCGAGGGAATTGAAAGCAGCATTAATGAAAAAATTTCCGAACGAGTCCGAAGATTCGGTGATGAAAGTAGTTGGACATTTGGTGTATTATCGGTATCTGAATCCGGCTATTGTGTAAGTGTTCTGCTTCACTCGAGAATGGTTTTGTATTCTGACTTTTATAAAAAAAAGATCATTCATTAACTTTGGATTATTTTTTGATTAGTGCACCGGAAGGATTTGATGTAATTGAGACGGTTGTTAGTCCAATGCAACGAAAAAATTTAGCAGAGGTGTGGATTTTTTGTCTTTGATTTTTTTATAATGTAAAATCTCCATATTGAAAGTTTACTTATATTACATTAGATATCCAAGATGTTAAATCAAATATCAGTTGGACGACTTTTCACCGAGGACAATATGTACCTGCAACCATTAAACGATTATGTTGGATACGCGTCCAAAAGATTTGCCGATTTCTTCACGGATGGTGAGATTTATTATGAGATTGATTATTACCTATGCGATATTGATACTTATGGCTATTTTTATTTTATAATTCAGTGACGAAAATTCAAGATCCCGAAGTATACTTCGATATTGATGAATATAATGATCTGATACAAACGCATAAACCAATAATTTATATATCACCGTTTGAAGTATTTTCAATGCATGCAATGTTTTTTGAACATTTGGAAATGATCATACCAGAGAAAAACGATGCATTACTTGATATACTAAAAGAACTTGGTGATGTTCCTCCATTTGATGAAGAGTATCTTAACAATCATAACTCCCCTAACACGACCACAAATGAAATTAGTCTCACACTTACCAATCGACTTCAAATTACCGATTCAGATCTTAAACTAATGGGAACTGACATTTCACGACTTTTCGTGGAGACTAAACGATATATTCTATCGATCATTCGTGTGCAAACTGGAAATAATCTATTAGATATATTAATAAAACCAGTTACCCCACAAGACGAACAATCATTTAAAGAACTTTTACAGTCAGATCGACGAAAAAATAAAAGACTTTATTCTTCTACAGACGACAACGACAATATCAATATCACCAACACCAGCTCTTCTTTGGCAGAGAGTTCAGCAGAACATAATTTAACAATGTATAATATAAGTAGAATGACTTTTAGTGAGTTGAAAAAAATAACATTACAGAACGTGTTGAAATTGGAGGCAGAGGGAAAAGTTTCACGTCAAAATAATTATCAGGATTTATTGAATGCAATCGCAGTTGATATTCGAAATAACCATCGACGTAGAGTTCAACGAGAACGAGAGCTTAAACAAATTCGACAAACATTATCTAATTTAGAGGAGAAACGCGTTTATCTGGATGATCAAATTAAAAGCTATAATGATTATATTGAAGTGTGTATGCAACAATTATCTACAAAGAAAGGGTATGTGTTATTATGCGTTTTATTATATAAGATTACTGTAATCAAAAAGACCATTAGATTTTAATCTCAGTTCATTTTCATGTAGCAAAAAATCACGAGTGATTCTTCCATTCACACGACAATACTTTCACATACGCGATCTACAACGTAATGGTCGCGTTCCAAAATTCGGATCATATAAATACACGGCACAACGTCTCCACGAGAAAGGTGTCCTAATCTCAATTGATGGCTATTCCTTGAAGCAATTCGACAAGATAAGTTTCACCATATCATCGGATGTGCTTGGACTATTTTCCATCGAAGCAGCTTATATGGGAATTTCGGTTCCCGGTGGACAGATGGAATTACGATTGGAAGAATTGTTACAAGGGCAATTTAATAATGTGCAGGTGGAGAGCTTGATGGATGGTCAAGTCAAAGTTAATTTGAATTTATTGATTTTCCTGATCAATAAAAAGTTTTTCGTGTAATTATTATTTATTTGTAAATTTTTTGTCCTTCCTAAATGTATTATTGTTATATTATTCTTTATTCTTTATATAATATTCATATTGATGTATAATAGCAAAATTGTGAAATATTTTTAGTTTATCACCTAATTTTGAATTATGTATATTTTAGTATGTAATAAAGTAAAGAAATTCATTATCTCCAATACTCAAGATCCACGTAAATTCTCCGTCTTATTTATGTCAAAAAAAACATAGTTGATATTCAATATTCAGAAATTCTCCGTCTTATAATTTATATTAAATGATATTTAAAATACACGTGAAATAAAATTTTCTGATTAAATAGCTACAGACGACAATCGTTTGCTTTTCTTCTTTTCCCAAACATTCTTGATAACTGAGCGAATCTTTTCCAAACTATCATCCCAACATGCTTCACCAACACCAATAATGCTATCTATATCCTCAGGCTGAAAGACAAAATTTGATGTGGCCACGACTTTTTCATGAAGTGGATCAAAGTTGGGATATTTCTTGTGAGGTATATTTGGCATGTAAATTAATGTCAAATCACGATCGCCTAACAATGCTTTTCCGGCATCGTTGATTGGTTTTCCGTCGAAAATTTGAGCGTAAGCAGGTGCAAATGTTTTTTCAATTAATTCAGGTTTGCCTCGCATGTCGTCGGCGAGTTTCTCGGGAAACTGAACTTTCTCTGGAGGATCAACTGGGGTCCAAAGAAGTCCACGTCGAGTAGAGAATTGTTTGGCCATACGATCAAAAAATGTTGGTTCCATAGTTTCCTTACTGCCATCAATAGTGATAATAATATCAACCTCTCGTTCTGGACGAGTTACTACATACCACGGATGATTGTTATCCATCCCTTTTATTAATTATTAAAGATTAGTATTAAAAATCCCATCATCAAGAAGATCGTAAATTTGTATACCAACCAGAGTCAAGTACGTGAATGTGTTTGGCAGTGTCAATTCCACATTCAGGCTTATCACGAGCAAGCAAAAATGGATTGGGTTCATGCGCTGGATGAATAGGATGATGGCTTTCAAATTTGTCAATTCCGTGTTCACCCAATACTTTTCCAACCTATTATTGCATTTTAAATTTCAAAAATATAACATTATCGAATAATTCGAGAATAACAGTGCTTTTATGAGAAACAAACTCAAACATACCTTTGAGGAAAAAGATCTCAACTCATTGCCTGAGAATAGCAATAGAAATATAATTTAGAGAAAAAACCTTACAAACATTAATAATATATCGATTAAGATTAGCGTACCTAACCAATTACTTGGCAATTCCCTATCAGCAAGGTGCACATAACGTGCGATTGGTGCACATTGGGCGCATGTCATATAACCCAATTCTAATGCGAAGTTACGTTCTGGGACATTATTAGTGCTAACTCCCTTATTGAAATAGCGCCCAAAAGCCCAACTTGGTATCCAAGCTAGAAAATATTTATAAGCAATTTTAATATGTAGTCTAATCGAGATTCAGAAGAAAACGCGTTAAATTACCATTAATGTCGTCACACCCAATCTCGTAAGGAGTGAATTCGATCCACTGGTACGATGATTTTTTCTTGTCAAGATCTTTTTCATGACGAGCTGAAAGGACTTGGTAATTATCCTCAACATTATGTGGCGCACATTTCTTAATAGATACTGAATTGAGCATATACATAACATTAAACTGATACAGTCAGTCAATAGTCTACCTCGAAAGCTTCTTCGCAATCTTCCCATGGACGTTCATGGCGAATTCTAAAAAAATGCAATATGGCATCAAAAAACCCAAACAAATGTAGGATTTATATTCAATATTAACTTACGTCGTGTAAATGGGGAATGGATTGGCGCCATTTTCCAATAATTTGGCTTGTTGCGAGAGTTTAAAATGTTTCGGAATCAATGCATTGCCCTTTCTGAAAAAATATCCGCCAAGAACTGCACCATAAATATCGGTGGCATTTGTGAGTAATTTATTTATACGCTTTTCTTCGATTGCCCCAAAAGTTAAATCAAGTCCATTCTCTAACGAGAAAAGTAGTTGAAAGAATTTCGTGCTTGAAGGTTTAATAACATATGCCTGTTTGAAATGTTCGATCGTAGCATCTACTGATCCTTCTGCAACTGTATAATAAGTTGCAAGTGCCCAGCATGCACCAGATACGCCTAGAAAAGGATGAATCTCTTTAAGCTTTTTTTAAAATTATTATTGATTTAAAAGAATAAGAACTACCTGTAAAATATGTCACGCTATCCCACAATCCAGACTTCTCCATGCCACGTACAAATCCTATATAAAATGGGTCCCAACTTTAGACCAAGGAGCAAAAAAAATAAACGACTCATTTACTTACCCATAGTATCCACATTTGCTCTCATCCCACCACCGCTAAAAAATTGAGGGATTGTTAATAACGCAATCAAAAGAAGCCTACAAAAAAAAACATCAATAAGGCTTTATAACTATACCTGCCAGTAACAGCAATGATTGGAATATCGGCATCGTTGATTTCATCAACATCTACACCAATAAATTTAGCGAACGATTGACGCGCTCGAGCTTTACGCGCAGCAATGAAAATTCTTTCTTCATCACACAATTCTTTGCTTAATCTATCAAATCATACGTTTTGTGTGAAAATTAATTAAAATTATATTTATGGTAAATAAAAGTAATATATACCTAACGTGAGCAGTTTTTGCGATTTCAGGGTTTTTTTCATGGTTTTTCGAGTCATTTTCCACTTTTGTTTTTAAAATACGAAAGTCTTCCCAAAATTCTCGATTTCGCTCAATGTGTGGTGAAGAAGTCGTAAATTTTTGCTTTAAGCTTTCCCAAATCCCAACAAAAGAAAATGAGCTCTGATTGTCTCCAGTCTCAGGCTCCGTTGAGCTCGAGTCTGCTTTCAGCGTTTGTTCGGTTTCCAAGACATTTGTGCCTTTATCGTTTTCCGACATTAGTAAATACAAAGAAAAAAGTAGTGGTAGTTTTTGAATTCCATAGTCCTATGAAATTTTCTTTTTTTGAGAGCGACGACATGCAGAACGCATCATTCACGATATGCAGTCGAGCTAAATATGGGATCTTATTTATTCTCTGTGTTCTATTAATTCTACTAATATAGTTCTACATAATTCTATCAGCTCTATTAGTTCTATTACGATAATGTAGCTTGTTCAATGATTTCCTCCTTTATACGTATATCGTTATGTAAACGTAAAGGGGTCTAAATTCCGATTTATTTTTACTAGCGCTGTACCATGCTCATAATGACCCCTGATATTTATTTTAATCATGTTGAAAATTTCGAATAGCAAAAACAGTGAGATCAAATCAAATCCCTTGATATACGGTAAATACTGTTTTTCAGTTGTTCGTTGATTGATGTTTCCCAATTTTTATTATAAATATTAGCGGTGAAGTAATTGATTGCTTGTATTGTTATAATATTAGAAGTTAACTTTTCTTCACAGCTAACTTCCTCTCTTTCAAATAAGATTTAATAAATTAATATCTATAAAGAAAAGAATCTTTAGTATTCTCTTTGATTCCCTTCTTCTCTCTTTATATCATATATAAATATATATACACATATACATATACATATAATCCCAACACTTGCACGTTTTTTTTTGGTAATAGTGTGAGAAAATGTCAGTGGAAGAACCTGCAAAACAATCGACAAACAGGTTGGTTTTAATGGTTGTTATATTTGGTTGTTAGTTCGCGAGAGAAAGGATCATACCTTGTCATTTAATCAATACTCGTAGTGAAAAATGCAATGATTGATCTACGAAATGACAGAAATCCAAATTTAGACTCCGAATAAAATTCTTTATAACTCTCCGATTCTCATTTTTATTTTATTTTTTGATCTTAATGTATCATGTCCTTGATTGATCAAATATTATAGCGTAGTACTGAAAGTCGGAATGGTAGGAGACTCGCAAATAGGAAAGACGAGTTTGATGGTAAAGTATGTAGAAGGGTCGTTTGATGAGGATTATATACAGACATTAGGTAAGTGGTATTCAATAAATTAATTGATTAATTAATTAATTTCCTGTAAAATAAAATAAATGACTAATTTTCATGATTGAAAAATAAAGGAGTAAACTTTATGGAAAAAACAATATCAATCCGAAACACTGAAATAACATTCAGCATATGGGATTTGGGAGGACAACGTGAATTTGTGAATATGTTACCGCTAGTGTGTAATGATGCTATGGCGATCTTGTTCATGTTTGACTTGTCGCGCAAATCTACGCTCAATAGCATTAAAGAGTGGTATCGACAGGCGAGAGGTTTCAATAAGGTATTGTTTTTTCTAACTATTGAAATTCATCTTTAATTTTTTTATGATAAATTATTAAATCTAATTTTCCTTAGATTGCAATTCCATTTCTAATTGGCACAAAGTATGATCACTTTGCCACATTCCCAAACGAAGAAAAGGAAGAAATTACAAAACAGGTAGGAATAATCGAAATTAAAAATATAACAATCCCGCACACACACAGGATCCTTACTAATGAATTGCTATATAAAGGCACGTCGATTCGCAAGCGTAATGAAAGCCCCGTTGATCTTTTGCTCGACATCACACTCGATTAACGTGCAAAAAATCTTCAAAATAGTCTTATCGAAAGTATTTGATTTGAAATGCACAATACCGGAAATCGTGGAAGTCGGGGCACCGATTTTGGAGTATATTTATACTCCAAAGTAAATACACATATAATATCGATATATATCTTGTAATCTTACATCTATATACATGTATGAATTCTGTATTTTTTTATAATGGTAATCACAATGATAATATTAATTTGGGTTTAATTCGCGTTAAATTCGCGTTACTATTGATTTGGTATAATATCGATATTAAATTCGCGTTTGGTGTTCAATTCGCGTTACAATTGGCTATCAAAATTGTGACGTCAAACCTTTGCTTAATTTAAACCTTTGTTTCAACTACCAATTCACGTTTATTGCTCGAGTTCAATTAATATTTGAATAATGATATTTGGTGGATAGTAACAATAAAATGGCTTCCTCTTCAATAAAAAACAAATTTGTACAAAAGAAAGTAGAGCAACAGCCACCTCCATCACACTCACAACCACAAACATCAGCCGCAACAGCTTTATTAGGCTCTCAGCAGCAACAAGAAGCGCCTGTTTCTGGAGTATTGGCTTCTGGGCTAAAGGCCTCTTTGTTCGCGCATATCTACGATGATCGTGTTGACATTTTAAACACGGTAAGTTTTCGCCACGTAATTCCTATGTTAGAATGGCTTTTTGCTTTATGTCTAAATTTTGGGATTTCATTTTTTAAAGATATTCTTACTGGAGCTAATTGCTATTTATTCGCAACTTTTATAGAATGGAACCAATTCTTTTGACCCTGACAAATGCAAATTTTATCGAGGTATTTCTTTTGCAAAGATAGAAAATTCACTCCAACCTATTGACTGATCGACTGGATATTTTCCTGTATGTAATATATGTAATAGGATGTCTTATCTGTGTATTTCAAGACCATCGAACAAATCCTAATCCAAATCTAACTGGCAAATGGGCCGCTTTGCGACCCAATTCGAACACTCTTTGGGGGGATATTCTAAGGATGAATCAGGCTGCCGGAGGTGTATGGACAAATCAAACGGCGATAGAATTGGAATCCAAATTATTGGTAAGAGAGCGGCCAGTTTTAATGCATTATCTCGAATGTTTAAATTCATGGAATTATTAAATCCAGAATATTATTATTTGTAATAATAGCTTGCGATACATCCTAAGCCAGATTTAGATTCAAAATCTACTTTGCCAGGTCTCACGCCTCTATCTGTTAAAAATGATAAAGAGTTGCCCTTATTTATCCATCGTGATAAGCCCAAAAAACGAAAGAGGCTATTGAATTCTTTAGAAATTGAGTTAGAACGTAAAAATAAAGCTGAGCTCGTTCATTTGATGAAAACAATGCATCCGGTATCTATTATATGATTCATACATACATACATACATATAGATTGTCATTCTGAATATGAGAAACTAAATTTTTTATCATAACAGCGAAATCGTAAAAAATTCAAGCAAGATCTTACACAAGAAACAATATTCAAAAAGAACAAAGAGCGAAAGATAAGCATACCTGCTGATTCAAACGGCAAACAAAAATTATTAATGGCGCAGTCTTCACAAGGTAAGTTAATTTATGTTTGTTATCTCTATTTGTCAAATATTCATTACATTTTCGATATTTGTAGTAATGGATCAGAGCAGAACACAGAGAACTCTGATGAAAAGAATGCGTTGGGAAGAAATCTTAACCACGTCAGATGGTTTGTTTTTTATTCAAATCTTTTTTACATCATTATGATTATTATTATGTTGATATCCGTCAATTGTTTTATCTAGATCAAAAGACCAAATGTCATACTATACTCGTAGTTTATTTGAATTTCAACGCCAAATACGATATGTTTATATATAAAATCAAAGAAACTGACTTTCACAACTTCTCAGAGCTTCAAAGATTTATTCACGAAATTGACGAAGATAAAACGGTTTTGGAATTAAAGGATAGCCGAGCTGAATTAACGTATATACTTCAATTATTGTCTCTTTTTTTCTTGCTTACTGTTGCTTAAATCAATAATTATTTTTCATTGCAGTTATTCATTTGATACGGAAGACAAATGGAAAGATTTTATCAAACAATTTACGGTGTTATATGGATTCAAGAATGAATTGAAATTTGTTTGGAGTCTTAACGAAGAAGAAGAAAAATCATTGGCTGAGGCATTAAAACAGATTGCAAACAATATTGGAGAAATAACAACACCAGAACAAGTGCCTAATAAAGATGCACGACAATTAATTGACAAATATTTCTCGGAAGAACCCCCTGATCATTTACCTCAACCTGTGTACCAATTCACCTATAAAGACAAGAAACAAATGATAGCCCTCGAAACGGTGCAAGATTTTATCAATGCTAGTGACGTAAACAAGAAAATGATGGACATCAAGAAACGCGGACCTCCTGCTGTACCTTTAATCAGTGCAAACGACACAGCCACAAGCTTTTCATCTGGTCATATTCGAAAGCCACCAGTGCCAAATAACCCCATATCAAATCCACCATATACTCAAATTCCAACAGAACCTGGGCTTTCAATGCCTTCTACTTCATTGAATCAAGCTGCGACATCTATAATACCCAATACACCAATAAATCAACCTTTGGTGCCTCCAGTAACCAATACACCAATAAATCAAATCCCGATTCCTAATATGTCAATGAATCACATTAATCCAATCCCCAATTTACCAATGAATCGAGTTTCTATGCCGGTGTCTAATAATATACCAGTCTCAGTGGGAGCAATTTCAAATACAACACTTAATCAGATGGCGACACCATCGTTACCTGTTGGGGCAGTGCAGCAAGTTGCAACCCCGATTTTGGCAACTCAACAACAAATTCGTCAGGTTATGCCCGGCGTACCAATGGGACAATATCAGAGGATATCGATGTCACCAGCACAATTACAACAATTACAGCAACGACCAGGAATGCTTTTACCGAATGGAAATGTTCAACAACTTCTATTGAATCGTGGCATGATGGTAGGAAACCCATCACAAATTAACAGTGCTCGAATGCCTGTTAGTCAAGCTGCTGGAATTAACACAAATAATGTCTTAAATTCGGCGGCAGGTCGTGTTTTGATTGACGGAAATGTATTTGCTCGAGAGCAAGCACTTGCTATCCAACAACAACAACAACAACAACGTATATTATATTTGTATCGGCTGCAACAACTGCAACAGCAACAACTGCAACAGCAACAAATGCAGCAACAGCAACAGCAACAGCAGCAACAGCAACAACAACAAAGTTCCCAGCCACGGCAGCAATAATAGATAAAATAATAATATAATAATAATAATAGTATAATTACAATAATATAATAATAATAATATAATAGAAATAGAAATTATTTTTTTTTCCGAAATTCAATGCTTAACTATATATAAGTAGAAATTTACATATATTTATTATAGTAATACTGAAGGATAATCTAGTTTAGTGTAAAATAGATGTTATGCATTAATTAACCGCACGACTTTAGTTAACTCAATAAATAATCTGCCACAGTGAGGCGAGAGCATTTTGATCAGGTGGTGAAGAAACGTGTACGATGAATAAAGTTAACTTTAATCAAAATTGTATAATAACCATGATAACGCGCGTTTATATATTAATTTGATTTTATTGCCAATTGTACTGTCAATTGAACTAATTATAACATCTGTTAAAGCTATTAATACTAGTAATATTGACTATTGTGAATGAATTCGATAACCCTATTCTAATTGATTTTATGTATAAATGTGTATGAGTATAATACTACTTACTCATTTGCGTCATTATGCTACTATTCCTATTCAACATCTGATGCCTCTGTCACTTTATTATCATTCCAAACACATACAAGATCAAGCTTGAATGTGTTAAGTCTAATTTGAAGAAGTTTCTTAAAAAATATCATTTAATTATTTGTTAATTCAAAAACCCGGATGAAAAAATCAAGTCAAAAAAATATAATCCTAATTACCAGTAAGTTAGCTTGATCAACACTCAATGCTTGACCAGAAAGACAGACAGTGTGCTCTTTCTCGAGAAAAAGATTCCCGCCGAGACATTGAACCGGTAATCCTAATTTCTTGAATGAAGATTCCATGATGAACGGAGATTCTGCGGGGGGATCACCGCGAGTAATAGGACCAGCAGGGATCTTTACATCTCGAGTAGCAATATTTCCCGGGCGTGCGTAAAGTAATACTTGCTTTTCCTCCGCGTACTTTTTCACAGAACTCAAGGGGAGATTTGTGAAAAGTAAACAGACATTACCTACTAATCGCTTTTTTATAATATTAATCATCACCGGATAAGAATAAGAAATTAGAATAATAATTGAGAAAAAAAGAACATCTTACTATCTGTAGAGAGAGAGAGAGAGATAATAATCTACCATTGAAATAAGATGCAGATTCTTTTTATATTCACTAGCAGCATCTTTTCCTAGTGCTATTGCCGTAAGTCTGTTTGACCCAATAACTATTCTAAATATATCAAAGGACACGCATTAATTAAATATTAATTAAATCAACCAAATCAAATCAAATACTCACCGACTTCCGACCAAATCCTGTCGAACAGATTTTATACATGAGGTGCGCGCAATAGGGAGTTTGAATAGCCAAACATAATTGCACTTATCGAGAAACACTTGTATCTTATAGTAGTTGAACAATGTCAGGAGGTATTCAAAAAACACTTGTAAACGTGCATGGATTCGAAAAAGTGGGTTCCTTTACTTGCTTAATCCTTCCAGCCTTTATCAAGTGAGACCTTTGGCGTGATTCTTGTTGCCTTTGACCTATTGATTTACCTTGCAATATTAATATTAATAATTTTAAAAAGCCATAAAGTACCAATTAAAACTTACGTCTCATCTCTTTCCTACTAGATAATACCATATTGAAATTTAGAGCTTCAACTACGAGAATTAAGGCTGTTCAAGACGCGAGTAGAAAATCAAGTGAGTTGTAAAAAATGTGTCATAGTGTCAATCGAATATTCCGCTGCAATGGGGACATGTCAATCAGTAGACTCAATGTGACGCACCTTTGATATGGGGATCTAAAAAGGAATATGACGCATAGAATTTTTTTGGTTTTTTGATATTTATTGTCAATAAAATGGCTTCTGCAGCTCTCAACGTATGTATGATATTTCAATTAATCAATAAAATAATGACAATGAGTCAGATTTAATCTTTTATCGTCTACTTGAATGAAAAAAAAGCTGGCGCGCTGGTCAGCACTCGGATTAGGTATCTTGTATGGATGGACACACCATCGATCACTCGTGCACGCTGAACAAAAGCGAAAAGAAGAAGAAGCATATAAACATAAACAAGAGCTAATTGAAAAAGCGAGGGCTGCTTATGCCGCGAAAATTTCTGTTGGAAGTGATGGTATATATATCAATTATATGCAGTTTGAATTTAATTAATTGAATCTGGTTTGATCTGATTAAATTTTACTTTTGTAGTTATAAAAGACCCAAATGATCCACGATTCGACCTAGAGAAATTGCTCACGAGTGTTGAAAAATCAGCTTAGCAATAAAGAAAGAAAGATTTTTAGTTGAATAATAATTAAAAGGGAATGGGTCAGGTCAGCATCTATTTAGTTAAAATTACTGGTCGGATTCTATAGATATCTTAGTCCATACAAATTATGTGTTTTTTTTTTTTTTTTGCGAATAATCGATTGAAACAAGACAATTTAGAAATGGTAACAAAAACTTTAGATTTGTTTAATTCTTGATGAAATTCTGAACAAACCTGCTACGCAAGAATAACAAAATGACAATAGTAGTGAGGTTCTTTTCAGTGTCTCACAAACATGACTGAGAGATTAGTTATAGTCCTGTCATTTTTGTTTATCAATCAAAAAATAAAATCTACATTCAATATATTTGACAACTTATATTAAAAGTTATAATAAAATCATGTTGCTCATTACAATGCTATATACATGCTTCAGCTAGTTGAGTTCGTTTGATTGAATAAGGAAGGATTCTCTTTCATGTACAAAACAAATGGATCATCACCAGTATTTCCAATTAACAGAAAATCCTTAAAATCCGTCGACGCGTCAGACAACCAATTTAAAATTTTAAAATAGCTATTTACAATCGGTGGTTTTATGAAATCTTTCAATCGACGAAAATACGAGTTTTTTAAATAATCTGCCGGACGTGCATACGGTAGAACCATGCGCATGCGTGTTCTAACGCGTCTGAGAGCATTTCCGGAATTTTGTTGAGGAGGTGGAGCCTGATAATCAAATTTCTCTGCTGTATCAAGCATCATTTGTCGTATATCAGTATCAAAAGACGGCCATTGAATGTATTTATTACTAGAGTCAGAAGAAATTGGATCTTCAGACGAAAATTGCGGGTGAAGTTCCGGAGGGACAGGGAATTTATACACGTCCTTTATTTGCTTGTAAATACTAGAAACGGAAGACGAAATGACTTTCCAACTATTGTTGATTTCTTCACCTACTTCTGGCAAGGTATATCTACGAGAATAAGGTGTTGAATTGGTGGTGTGAACGCGCGACCTCTTATGACGCCTCGCGCCAGACGCTACATTAGTATGTTGGTTTTCTTCAATAGTTACAAGTTCTTTTTTCCGATTCGCTGTTGAGTCTGCCATTGTTTTTTGTAACTCTGATAAAGATTTCCAATTCGCTGTTGAGTCTGGCATTGTTTTTTGTAGCTCTGATAAAGATTTCCAATTCGCTGTTAAGTCTAGCATTGTTTTTTGTAGCTCTGATAAAGATTTCCAATTCGCTGTTGAGTCTGGCATTGTTTTTTGTAGCTCTGATAAAGATTTCCAATTCGCTGTTAAGTCTAGCATTGTTTTTTGTAGCCCTGATGAAGAGAAGTTAGGAACGATAGTATTCTCGTGTGGCTCCACCCAGGGATTCGCTGTTAACGCGTTTTCCATTTCGTTCAAAGAAATGTGTTGTGTCCGAATTTTGGACCCCAAATTCTAATTGAAATTTTATTACTATAGTGCGCGCAATCTAAAGCCATCTAATACTTTAATCACAAAAAAATTACGTTGTTAAATACCTTTCACTAAAAACTATTATTTAACGTATTTTTTATGAACAGTATCAATAGAAATGATCCACTGGATGTATCACATGAACATTTTCTGATTGGTTGGATTACTTCATGCAAAAATACATGATTGACATGATTCATATTATATCGATATGTATATTCTAAATACAACATTTTCATTGGCTTCATATGACTCATACAAATTTCAGCAGTGGCGCAGCATTGACTGCGCGCACCATAGAAACGACAACTTTTCAGCTATTGTTGATTTCTTCAGCAAAATACATCTACGATAGATAATAAGATGTTGAATTGGACCTCTTATGACCCATCGCGCCAGATATTACATTAGTATGATAGTTTTAAGTTCTTTTTTCCAATTCGCTGTTGAATCTAGTGAATCTAGCATGTTTTTTGTCGCTTTGATAAAGAACAGTAATTTCCCAGAGATTCTATGTTAACGCGCGTTGTCCATTTAATGACCCTAATTTCACCTTCACGTGATGTATCTATTCCGTGTATCGAAAATCATGTGACTTTATCAATATGTTAATCCGTCGCGTAATTTAAAGGTTGGAAATTTGACTAACCTCTTTATTCCAAGTCTCAATTTTTTAAATAAGAATGGCAATGAATAACAGCGCCCCATCCTCACCTTATCATGAGGAACCAAATGGTAACACATTAGATACGCTATAATTTTCACGCTAACATTTAATACATATATTTTTTCAATTTGTTTTTAAGAGGAAGCAAAACAAGAAAGAGCAGCTATCGAAGAAAGGTTAATTAATGAAGAGTATAAAATATGGAAAAAAAATTCACCTTTTCTATATGACTTGGTAATTACTCATGCCCTAGAATGGCCTTCGTTAACTTGTCAATGGTTTCGTGACGTTGATAAGTGAGTGTACCGTAAATACTCCAGTTTTCTTAAACTATTCATCACTGTTAAATTATCTATACTATAAGACCTGAAGGGAAAGATTATATGGTACAAAGACTGTTAATTGGAACTCATACATCTGGTGACGATCAAAATTATCTGGAGATAGCACATGTTCAACTTCCAAAGGATGATATTAATGCAGATCCGAGAAAATATGATGATGATAAAGGAGGTAAGATCAAGGTCGATTCTACCTCGCGCTTTTCTTAATATTAATTAATTAAGAATTCAATAACGATCCTCCTAAACAGAAATTGGAGGGTATGGAGGGAATGCAGAAACCAGAGTTTCCGTTGTTCAAAGGATCAAGCATGATGGAGAAGTTAATCGTGCTCGATATATGCCTCAAAATCAAGAAATTATTGCCACTAAAACAGTGAGTGGTGATGTTTACATTTTCGATCGAACCAAACATCTATTAAGACCTGTCGCAAACAGCACATGTTCTCCTGAACTCAGGCTAAAAGGACATACAAAGGAAGGGTTAAGTATAAATTTTTTTCTAAATTCGATTTCTCGTGTCTAAATAAATAATTGGTTAAACTAATATTACTCTAATAAATGAACAGATATGGTTTAGCATGGAGTCCATTTAAGGATGGCCATTTGTTAGACGCGTCGGAGGATATGACGATTTGTCATTGGTTTGTTTGCTGATATTGATCATATGTAGTTAATTTTTACCTTCTATTATTATTACTTTACAAATCCATTTTATAGTAAATATTATATATTAACAGGGATATAACAGGATATACTAAAGATACACGCACACTTGAACCATTTCGCGTCTATCGAGGTCATGAGGCTGTTGTTGAAGTGAGCAATAAATAATTGTTTCTATATTATTTTAGCAATTCAATTTCATTGATCATACAATATAGGACGTTGCTTGGCATAGTCTAGATCAAAATATTTTCGGCTCTGTCGGTGATGATCAAAAACTTCTCATGTAAGTTGTAACTTCGCCTTTTCGATTGGTTTCAAATTATAATACAATTCTTTTGTGAAAAAAATAAAAGCTGGGATATACGCTCTGAAAGCACCGAAAAACCAGCACACACTGTTAATGCACATATGAGCGAAATTAATAGTCTGGCATTTAATCCAAAAAACGAATTTGTATTAGCCACGGGTGCAGGAGATAAGGTATGTTATTCAGTAACCTATTTGTTTATCATCGTTAAAATTAATATTTGAATTTGCCAGACTGTGAATCTCTGGGATCTTCGAAATCTGAAAACGAAATTACATGCCTTAGAAAATCATCAAGGTGAAGTAATTCAAGTCGCATGGTCACCTTTTGAGGAGACTATATTGGCATCTGCCGCAGGAGATCGTAGAATTATGATGTGGGATTTGAGTCGGATTGGCTCTGAACAAACGGCTGAAGATGTTGAGGATGGACCACCTGAATTATTGGCATGTATTAGTTAATTGGTTTTTTTTAATATAAAAACCGCATAAATTAATTTTTAATACATTATTTAGTTTGTACACGGTGGACACACAAATAAGATTTCGGAATTCAGCTGGAATCCTTATACCCCTTGGGTGATTGCAAGTGCCGCTGAAGATAATATAATTCAAGTGTGGCAGCCTGTAAGTCACCAGCATTCCCCATAGTCTTTTAACGAAATATATCTTGTATTTTTAATACTCGCAAATTTAAAATTTAGGCGCGAAATATTTACATAATTGATGAATCAGAAATACCACCAGAGGAAACAGAAGATTGATAAAAGGCATTGAGAATTTGATTGAAATATCTTGATTACAATAATTTTTAGATTAATATAAGTGTTATCCAACCATAATAATACACGTGTATATCTATCTTTTTCTCCATGCAATACCTGGATTTATAATTATATTAATTAACAAATTGAATTCTTGAAGTTTCAGGATTAGTCAAGAAAAATCACAATCGTATCTTGTATACAAGATTAATTATTTTGATAACTTTTATGCTGAAAATGGATGTTCATATATATTGTTTTTATTTTACTTTATAGAAATTGCTTATGTAATATTCAGTCACATTCCTGAATTATCAAAAATGATTTAGGTTTATTAACTTGTAATTAACTTTTTAATTCTTTAATCAATTCTGCCTTTTTTTCTGTCGCGAAGCCTAGTACCACAGCGATTTACTAATTTTCACCCAGGTTTCCTATTGGTTGAGGATATTAAAGATTGATTTTAAGGTGCCTTCCCGACATTTTTTATTGCCAGATTTAAGCATTCGTTTTCCGTATTTTTCACATTATTCGCACTTAATTTTCTTGTATCGGATTTGTTTTGTCGGGTTGATCAAAAATCTATACATCTTTATTGGTTAATCTAGAAGGCCCGGTGTGCAGTCAACCAATCAGCGATGGAAATTACTTGCATACAATAGGAAACCTGGGTGAAAATTAGTAAATGCCTATCGCTATCGCTAGTTTTGCGCGTCACGTGCTTTGAACTGAGATTATCACAGAAAATTTGAAATCAGTTGTCAAAAAAGAAATAAACATGCCGATACTTTCAGCTGATGGGGAGAAAGTGACTTTAAAAAGCAGGTTTTGATTAAAATGATAGTTATTGCTTTATTGTTGTTACTTGATGTTTGATACTTGATACTCGATACATCTATTTGAATTAATATTTAATTTGTATGATTAATATATTGATGATGATCATTATAATTAAACAATAGTTTCAAAGTATCAAAAAGTATTGAAGTAATTTATACGGGCGGTAAGGTTGCCGTATCTCCTGATGAATCATTGTTAATTACCACGAATGGCGAGGATATTGAGGTTACAAAGTTTGAGCAGAGAGAACGAATTTTTCAATTGAAAGGGGTGTGTGAGTGTTTTTTTGTGTGCATCATCTTATTTATTAATGGGAAAATAATGAATATACCTAATGATCTATATATTAATGACATTAATAGGATACCGAAATAATCACTACTTTCTCAGTAACACCTGATGGTGAATATCTAATAAGTGCAAGTCGAAGCTTAGCAATAAAAATATGGAATCTTAAAACTGGAAAAATTGTTCGTTCCTTCAAGGTAATATAACATATAAAATAAAATAAAAACTTTATTATATAATATTGATTTTTTACTATTTAATTTAACTCAACAGGCACATGAAGCACCAATAATAATGATGGATGTTGACATAACATCGACCTTAGTCGCTACCGGATCCGCAGATAGCACCGTAAAAGTATGGGACATTGCGCACGGTTATTGTACACACAATTTTCGTGGACATGGTGGAGTTATTAGTGCATTGAAGTTTCATCCGGATATAGTGAATAGGAAGATGTTGGTTTCTGGTGCTGATGATTGTAAAATTCGTGTTTGGAATTTGGCGGAACGAAAGTGAGTATTCTTTAGAAATTCTATTTATTTACGATCTAACAATTATTTCGAGATAGTTGTATCGCAGTGTTGGAGAGTCATGTTAGTATGATTCGCGGATTGGATTTCTCGCATGATGGTAATTTTCTTGTTAGTGGATCACGCGATAAAGTAGTTATTGTGTGGGATTTGGATAGGAAGAGTGTCGTAAATACTTTTCCTATTTATGAGGTTAGTAAATTGACTTATTCTGTATTCTATATTTAATTTCGATCGTTTTATTTAATGTTCTTTAACACCAATACTCAGACTATTGAAACAGTCGGCGTATTAGAGAAAGGCGTGTATCCTGATGAAGAAAAAAAAGAGAAAAGAGAATTGTTTTATACAGGAGGAGATAAAGGTTTATTTTTTAAATTGTCTTATTTTTTAAGATACTGTACTAATTTATATTTATTTCTTCGCGTAAAGGAATCATAAGGTTATGGGATTTAAAAACGGGAAAATTGGTTAAATCGCAAGAACCCGAATCAAATACATCTCAGAGTATTTCCGATATTATGTATGTATATGCATTTTTTTCACTAATAAATATTATAATAGTATTTTCATAATAATATTTCTAAAGCGTAATTAAAATAACCAACCCATTTTTTCATTAAAAATAAAAAATAGATATTTTCGAAAAAGTGGATTCCTTGCAGCAGTCACCCACGATCAAAACATACTAATCTACAAACTACGTGGTAGCGGACTAAAGAGAATTAAACAAATTGTCGGATACAACGATGAAATAATTGATCTCACATACGTGGGAAAAGACGAATCGTTACTTGCCATTGCGACAAACACTGAACAAATTCGCGTGTACGATGTTGAGACACTTTATTGTGATATTATTTATGGACATGATGATATTGTGTTTTGTCTAGATAAATCGTATGATGGAAGATTTTTTGTGTCTGGGTCAAAGGATAATACCGCTAAAGTGTGGGCAATTGATTTTTATGATGGAGGAGAAGAAGAAAAAGAAGACAGTGAAAACAGATTCAAATGTGTAGGTGTATGTGTTGGTCATACTGAAGCTATTGGGTCGGTTGCCATGTCGAAAAAGTCTTTAAAATTTTGTATCACGGGAAGTCGTGACCGTACTGTTAAATGTTGGGATATATCGTTGCTTGAGAATAAAGGTTTGTGTAACTTATCAGTAATGTCACTTACGAATTAGTATTAAAATATTTATATGTATAAATTAATTTTATTATTTTAGTTTTCAAATCACTTGCCGAGAATACCAAATTAAAAGCACTTTTCACACATCAAGCACATGATAAAGATATAAACGCAATTTCAATATCACACAACGACAAACTATTTGCCAGTGCCTCACAAGATAAAACAGCCAAAGTTTGGTCTGTACAGGATGGATCACTCGTTGGAACTTGCAATGGTCATAGACGTGGTGTTTGGTCAGTGCAGTTCTCGCCAGTTGATTATCGATTACTGGTTACGAGTTCAGGAGATAAGTCTATAAAACTTTGGTCTTTGTCGGATTTCTCATGTTTAAAGGTAATTATATTATTGAATCATTCGAACTAGCTGACAAATCACTGAATTGTTTGCTTACTACGTCATCAAAGACATTTGAAGGCCACACAAATACCGTGCTACGAGTCTCGTTTCTGACTTCCGGTCAACAATTAATATCAACCGGATCAGATGGTCTCGCGAAACTGTGGACAATTAAAACTAACGAATGCGTTAACAATCTCGATAATCACACCGAGAAAATATGGGCATTGGCCGTGAGTAAAGACGAGAAGTTTGTGGTGACTGGTGGTGCAGATTCAGTCGTAAATTTCTGGCAGGATTGTACGGTTGAGGAGATGGAACAGCAATTGAAAGAAGAGCAAGAATTTATACTAAGGTTTGTGAATGTTATTAACAATTAGTTTAAATAATGAAAATCACATTATTTCTTTCCGTCGAATAGGGAACAAGATCTGGCAAATTACTTGCAAAAAAAAGATTATAGGAATGCCATAATATTAGCAATGACACTCAATCAACCATTCCGATTATTAAATCTATTTACCGAGGTACTGAATAGTCGAGCTTCAGGTAATGACTAACCCTTCATTAAATAATTTGTATTTTACTTTTAAATCAATTTTATTATTCTTAATAGAAGACACCAAAAGCATCACAGGATCCATTTCGATCGACAATATAATTGCAACCCTCACCATCGATCAACTAGAAAAACTACTTGGGTTTATTCGTGACTGGAATACAAATGCGCGACATTCGCGAACAGCTCAGACTATTCTGAATGCTGTTCTCACCGCGATTTCATCGGAAAAGGTTATGGAGATAAAAGGGATAAAAGATGTATGTCATTTTTTTCTTTATGTAAAATATACAATAATTCTTGAATTAATTGATCCATATTATTACTAGATTTTGGATGGTTTAATTCCGTACACGGAACGTCATTTCCAACGTCTCGATCGCTCTATCACAGATTCGTTTATTATCGATTATACGTTAAACGCAATGGATTTGTGGAACCCATTGGCTGTACCTGCTTTATTGGAACCGCCATCACCTTTACCTTCATTTCAACCACCGCCACAACAAGAATTATCAAGTTCAACATCAGAGAGAATGATAGCACATGATATTGAATTTGACTGGAATGAGACAGATGAAGATGTTGATCAAAGTTATTCAGAAATAAATGCAAACGAATCAAGTGAAGAGGAATCAAGCGAAGAATCAAGCGAAGAATCAAGCGAAGAATCCAACGAAGAATCAAGTGAAGAATAAAGCAATAAAGAATTAGATTAATAACGTTAGTCGTTCAAACTTATCATGTTATTGTTAAAAAAAATTAACTAGTTAGAATATTAATATAATAAAATTGAATTGCATTTTAGTAAATTACAATATGACTATTTTGTTATTTATCTTTAGATAAATATATTATTATGTTGTTACTATTTTTATAGGATTTAAGTCATTTATATACATATTATTCACATGTTTTTATTAAGTTAAAAATGGGAAAAACTAAGTTTAATGTGGGAGAAACTAAGTATTTTATTTAAAAAGTGATAATGCATATTCATTTTGGTGATAAGCTAGAATGATATTAGATAACTTCAATAAATTTAATATAAATTTAATAAGTTATAACACAAAATAATAAGTCTTTCAAATTGACTTTTATTATAAGTCAATAACAAAATAATTTATTATAAATAATCTATCAAAACCAATATAACATATTTTACAAATTATTTATTAGCTTTTTAATAAATTATTGATTTTAAGCTAAAATATATATTATATTTATATTTATAAATCAATTATAATATGATATTACTAATTTTATCATTAACTTTGTTAAAGTTGTTAATTTAATTAATACAAGTTTTATTAATATTATTAGTGCTATTGTTCTCGCTAATTCAAAAATTGTTAAAATTAATGAATTAACAAAGTAATATAACAGTAAAAGAACAAAACTGAATAAATTACAATTAATGGAATTCATTAAAGATTCTAAAGATTTTTTGTGATAGTTTGTGTGCAAACTAATTAACTATCAACAATAAAGAATAGAAATAGATAGAAAAATAAAGTAAAAATATAAAAAGAATTAAAGAAATTAACAAATAACTAAAAGTAAATAACAGAACTTATTGATAATGCCTAACAAAATAAAATAATAATTGAACTTATTGAAATTACTAATTATAAAATATAAACTAAAATAATTAAAAATAATCAAATAGGACTTATTAACATGACCTAAAAGTAATAAAACTAAATTAAACAAAAGTAATAATATCAATGACTTATTTAGAATGAAAAAGCATTTGTTAGTTTATTAAATCAGAGAATTAGAACATGAGAGTTTTTAATGACAAGAAACTTTTCTTTTATATATTTTCAATTTTTTATATAATTTATATAACTAATGACTATTTTAAACTATATCATGATTTACAAATAATACTAACAATATAAAAGAAGTATAAATACTAAAAAATAAATGAGAAATTACACAAATTTATTAACAAGAAAATACAAAAGAAAATTAGTTGCAAGAGTTTGAGTAAAAAGAAGTGTTATAAAGAAAGAAAATAATAGTATGAACATGATTATAGATAATTATAACAAAGAAATTAAAAAATAAAAAGAATAATTATAACAAGAGTAAAAAAAATAAATATAAGAATGATTAATTAAAAATAATAAAATTAAAAATAAAAATGGGAAGTGAATACTTAAAATAGTTAATAAAGAATAGCAATTATATTAGTAATCAAAAAAGAAAAGCTGATATTAATAAAATATTCAAAAGAAGTATATAATCCCAATAAGTATGATAAAAGTATAAATAAGATAAGCCAATAGCAAAGATATAAATTTTAGAATAAAAAGTACAAAAATAAATAAATTTAGTGAAACAATAAAACAAAATAAAACAAAATATGATTATTATTAGGTATTATGATTAGATATCAAAAAGATAATAATATATATTAAATATAATTATATAATAAAATATAATATAAAAATAAAAGGATAAATTAATTTGAGTACCATTGAGTTATATAATATTATATTAATTTACTTTGTAATGTATTTTAATTTTTGTTAATCAAAAATTAAGTAAGTATAAAATTTTTGATGAAAATGATAACACTATTATACAAATGTTAATATTATTAATATAAATATAAAACTAATAATTAATTATAAAATAAGATAATTTTTCAATAAGATTATAACTAAATATTAATTAATAAGATAAATAATAAAACTATTTAATTAAAGTATTTGCTAAAATCTATATTATAATAATATAAAAATAATAATTATAGTAAATAAGAAATATTATAAATTATATATCTCTCTTAAGTAAAATTCAAATTATATGAAAATATTAATAATTATATATATAATATAATTAATTTTACTTTTTTATAGTAATAGAATTAGTAATTAATTAATTGAATGATTATATTAACAAAATATTATATTAATATCAAAATTATTAAATATGAGAATAAGAAAATGTATATAATAATAATACATTTTAGTTTTCAAAATTCAAAGATTTTGTATTTCTTTGAATTAAAAAAACTTGTTTAAATAATTTTACTTAGTTTTTGCTTATATTAAAATTAATTAAAAATTAATATAATTATTGTTTAAATATTTTTGAAATTATTGATTTGTTAATTTCAAACTGATTTATAAATATAAATTAAATAAAATTATTTTGTTATAAATAACAAATTTTCATTTTTGTATTTTTGTTAGTGTGATTTGCTTGATCTTTTCAGTTTTAGTTACTTGTTTCTTAATTTTATTAGTCTCTTTTTTTTAATTTCTTTTTTTAAAAGTTAAAATTTAATTTAACAAACTATTATTAATTAATAATTTATTAGCAAATAAATTACAAATAAATAAATCACTAAAAAATAAATCATTAGCTAACAAGTTATTAATTAATAATTTATTAACTAATTGATAATTTATCAGTTTTTATTAATATTACAAGAAAATGAAAAAATTATTATAAATATAAAAAAATGTTATTAAAAATATGAAAAAAAATATATTATAAAATGTTATAATAAATAAATAAAGAAATAAAAAAATATTATTATTTTCATAAAAATAAATGGCAAATTTATTAATTAATAATTATATGATTTTTTATATTATGATTAATTTAAGTAAAAATGGAAAGTTAATTTTTTTAATAAACTTTTTTATATTAAGTATAATTTATTAGATTTTAAATCAGAACTAATTAAAAATGTTTTTATAAATTAACTTTCTCATAATAGAAGTTTTTATATTAAGAATCACTTTTATATAAAAATACTAAAAATTTTTAGTAAAATTTTAAAAAGTCATATTTTAAAATTAAATAATAATATTTTTAATATATATCAAATTAATATTATTTTTAGTTTTAGAAAAAAATTTAATTGTATAAAAGATATTAAGAATTTATAATAAAATTAAATAATCAATTTTTTAAATAAAAGCTCATATTTGTATTCTAAAATTTGTCTTTTAATTTAAAAATTAGATTTATATGAAAATTTATATTAATTTACTTGAAATATTTTATGTTATATTCATTTGTTTGATACTATTATCAAAATCTAATTGCAAATTGCCTGTTTGATTAATTAAAAAATAAATAATATTTACAATATTAAACTGAAATAAATTCTATCAAAAAAAACTTATTTTAATTTTCAGAAAAACAAATTTTTTTGATTGATTTCTTTAAACAAGTAAAAACTCTTCAAATAATAATAAAAGTCATTAAAAAAACCTTGATGACTTGTCTATTTTTTCATCTCTAATAATTGAGATTGTTTCTTACTTGGATTATTTTCTTTCAGTTTGCAAGTCTTTTCAAATCTTGGTTCACTTAATGATGATACAAGCAACAAATACAATAAATAATCATGTTTGTATATTAAATAATCCATCGCATCGAAGCGAGAAATTTTATTGAGCATACACAAGTAACAACGTGTTACCCTTCAGCTTTGTTGGTATGTATTATACATTCTTAATCGACAGAATTTGATATTTTTTTCTCTATCTGGTAATTTAAATAAATTGTAATACGTTTTTTATATTCCTAATTATTATTGTTATTCATCATCACTTCCTATTAATTCGGCCAATTCCTTCTCCTCCTCTTCGGTTAACATAGTCTTCGTGTTTGCTGTAGTGTTATTTTTTAAACTTGAAGACGACGGTTCGTGTTCAGATTTTGATTTTTCAGCATCAGTTGATTGAGCGAGATCTTTTGCTTATAATTTGGAAATGAATAAGTTAAATTAAATGATATACATTCCATTTAAATAAAATACTACCAAATATTAATACATACCAGTTACAGACCACCGCCGAACAGTACAATCCAGTGACCCGGTATACACCATTGTTCCCCGTGCTGCCATACATGACACTTCATCAAAATGGCCTTCCATCGTCTTTATGATTTTTCCCGTCTATAAATTTTGAACAATTCTATATAAATAAAACCGCATTTTCACAAATGCCTATGTATATACATGCGCGTGATATTATTATTAACTACACATAAGAGAAAGAGAGATAACAAACCCCAATATCAAACACGCGAATATCTTCGTCGCGTCCTCCCGTTATTAAGTATGGTCCTAATTCTACCAAACATTTGACAAAGTCGGGGTGGGTGAACGTAGTATCCACTTTACCAGTCTTGAATAGTAAAAGAAATAGATCGTGTGAATCGTTTGGTTCAAATAGAGATTAATACACGTTCTATGAAATGAAATTAAAATTTGATGCTATACATACGACTAAATCCCATCTTTTGACAGTCTTGTCAGCGGAAGCTTAAATTTTCATTATTTACAATTTTATAATTAACCATTAGCCATTATTCTTTTTTTCAGTGTAAAAGTAAGACAATTAATAACCAAAAACTCACCAGACCACATGACCTCATCAACTACACGTATAAAGTAAACACTCGTCAAATGATCCTCAAACAATTGTAAGCATTCTCCAGTCGCAGGGTTCCACTTTCGTATATGTCTATCCGAAGACGCGGAATACAAATGTTTTTCCGATTCATCAAATACGAGATCTTCGATGCCGCGTGTGTGTCCTTTCATTATAACAGGTAGAAGGTCACCGGTGTCGAGGTTCCAACTGAGTATTTGCCTGTCTGATGATCCCGAGTACAGGGTGCCAGTGGTGTGTGCTATTGTTAGTGATTTTACAAAGTCTGTGTGTTTTGAGAAGATTTTTAATTGTTCTTTTGTCTAATTAAAAAATGTAACAAGTGTCTAATTTAATATATTGATTGAGGGTTTCATATAAGACACAAAATTTTAGAGTTTAAATTTACAGTCAAAATCCGTTACAACGGCGCCATATACACCAAACTCGAAACACCATTAATGACCCGATTTTTAACTATACAAAAATGCCCACATACACCGAAGTTTACTAATACAGGCACTATATGCCGTTCCGGCAAAATAGAAAGTTTCCACTAATGAACTTATATCGAACAAATAACGTGATCGAGGTATGTCCACATACAAGGTTACTGAAATATCAAATTTCGCAAGCTCTTAGTTTTCTTTATCAAGAGGGAACTGTAGTTAGAGTGTCCGCCGCCGATATAAACATTGCAAGAAAATAGGGGCCAATTCAACGTGTCAAAATTGAAGAGCGATGCCAAATGTGATAGATTTTTCGGTCTTTCACATGAACAAAATCTTCCTGTCTAGTTTGTCATCATAACAGCAGAATCACCGGTTTTCGTAACAGACTTTGACTGTATTATTATTACCTTGGTATTCCATTTTATTAGAGTTTGATCCCATGATCCTGTGATTAGATATTCTTCACCATTTTTGTACCATAGGCCAAGACAAGTAACGGGACCAGTGTGCCCTTTAAACAGTTTAACGGTTTTCCCTGTCTTAATAAAAAACAAAACAATAAACCGAAAGAAAATACATATATACTTACTTCCTTCCGCTCCCATATGCACATAAAAAAACAATATAACATAAACATACCGATAAATTTATCTTTCTAGCTAAAAACCCCGACTCTCCCACGTACACGTGTTCCAAGGTACTTCCTTCATACTCAGCAAGCAGCAAGCACAAAGCTTTCGAGGTAATTTCAATAGGTTCGCCAGCTTTATTTTCGCGTTTCGCAGCTCGTCTTCCTTGAACCAGTAAATCGTGGTCTGTTTGAAAAAAGTTACCGGCAGACGTGCCAATTTGTGGTCCAACTACTTGTGGTCGAATAGGTCTCTCGTCCTCCATAGATTAGATTAATCTTCAGATCAATTTTGATGAATTAGGTAATGTTTATTATCAATTGTATTCCTTATTTCTGCATATCTAGAATCAACTCTAATTAATTTTAACTCGATTCAATTCAGAATGTCCATAGAATATACCTCAACAGAACAAAAAGTTTCTTCTACCTTGCCAAGCCTTGACATAACAAGACAAGAACCAAAACTTGACTCTTCTCTCTCCTCCTCCACCACAACTCAACATGCACAAAATAAAAGAGACCAGGGATTAAAGAATGTAGTGGTTGGCTCGGTAAGTTCCTTGTTTCTTTAAACAATTTTCTTTTCACTATATTAGGCCATTTTTAGTCCCCAAAAGGTTAAATTGAAAATTGACGCGTTAATTCTAATTAGATCTCGGGAATGACGGGAAAAATAGTAGAATATCCATTTGATACTGTAAAAGTACGATTACAATCTCAGCCGATACCTTTCAAAGGTCCACTAGACTGTTTTCGACAAACGTATCGAAATGAAGGGTTTCTAGGATTTTATAAGGTTGGTAGTATTATCATTATCATCTGACAAAATTATTTTGTCAAAATAAAAATAAAACTCTATTGATTTTTATTTTTGTAAAATAAACTTTAAAGGGCCTCTCAGCACCAATGTTAGGCGCGATGATAGAAAATGCCGTAATATTCGCCTCCTATAACCAGATACAAATGATGATTCGAGAGTACAAGACGCCGAAACACGAGCATCACTTGATCTATGAAATGGATTTAGAGAAATCACCGCTCGAATTACGCGAATTGTTTTTTGCTGGTGCAATTGCGGGTACATTAGCATCTTTTCTCTTAACTCCAATAGAATTGATAAAGTGTAAATTGCAAGTACATAATACACTCGAATACAATACTTTGCCATCTTCAAAGAATATAATCACCAAAAATACCTCTCATCTCGGAAGTAATAATAATAATATTATAAAGAATAATAATAGCATTCAAAGAATCACATCATCGTCATCTTTACGGCATCAGAATCTGATTTCGGCCGCCCTAAAAACAAAAACACTAGCACAAACGACAAATCCCCCTAAATTCACTGGCCCAATTTCTGTAATTCGACACACGCTAGAAGAAAAAGGTATATCCGGATTTTTTCGAGGGACACTTGCAACGATGTTACGTGAAACTATTGGGTGTGGTTTTTGGTTCGGCACGTATGAATATGTATCACAATTTTTTATTCGGCATAAACAGAGTAAGTTATCGGGTCCTATTCATAACGATGTAGTCATTACAAAATCCGATTTGAATCCGTTGCATTTAATGACTGCTGGTGCTTTGGCTGGGATTGGGTATAATGTTTCGTCATTTCCTGCTGATTCGATAAAAAGTGTAATGCAGACCGAGGAGGAAATGAACAAAATAAAGAGAACATTCTTTCAAGTTGGAAAGGATATTTATAAAGAACACGGAATTCCGGGGTTTTATCGCGGATGTGGAATGACCGCGTTACGCGCGGCTCCGTCAAATGCAATAATCTTCATGACTTATGTAAGATGATTATTTTCTGAATTTTCTTGTATCTTGATGTATTATTAATAAAAACTCTCACCTATTTATAATAGGAATTTTTTGCACATAGATTTCAGTGAAGGTTCGTATTTTTTCTCTTCATTATATATACGATGTTTGAAGCAAGTTGATTAATAGTATGATTTCTCTCTTCTAATATAGATTATCCATGTCAAATGAAAATGTAAATAAAAATTTGTATATATCATTTTAATTATAAATTCAATACTGTCATTTTATGAAAGATATTTCTGTTCCTTCTTCATAACTCTACGTTATTGTCGCTATTATCAAATAATAAATAAATTCAATACCTCGTGATTTTCCCCTCTTTACTAAATTAAAAAAATCAAATTATCAAAGATTTTTCACTACATGGAGCAGTAGTTTTCTGACACTTTTTCACAACACCGAATATGAATATTTACGATTTTTTGTAGTTTAATTTTCTAATTCCGTGTTTGCTTTCCATAAAATCGTATCATGCAATTTTTTATTTGGATGGAAATGTAGAATTTTTGGACACGAAAGGATCGGCAAAAATTTTTTCATCAACGGTGGCAAAGTTGACCACGCAAAACTGATCTTTTTTTTGATCACAAAAAAATATATTCATATTTTATTTCCTATAAGAACATTAGTGCAAATTTTATCAGGGGTGTTCGAGTTTTTATTAATCAATAAATTAATAATAAATAAATAGGATATATATGAAGATTGTCATTTTTGATAACGATCAAAGATAGCGATAAATCTATCAATGTAAAAAAATTTTGTCGCATTAATTGTCTAAAATATAATCCAAATTCTTTGTATATATAATTAGATTTTCAATCAATTAACCAAAAAATAACACTAGCAATCTCTCAAAGATCATAAGTGATATTATTGTTCTATGTTTGTCCAAGTAGTGATTAATAAAAGTAATATACGAGGAAAATTAAATGCATCAAAAAATTATAATACAATTCGCCCAAAATTTTTGCCTAATAGAATGATGAAAAATCGATTATAATTTTGAAAACATTCAGATAATCAACAAAAGCAGATGATCCTCACCACTCGTTCTCTCTATAAGTATATATATGTATATAATGTAAAGTAACTTTAGCATATAACACAGTCTTCCTTCTTCGCTTGTGCTCGAGTATATCTTTCTGGCTTGAGACGTCGCATATTGCCGAGCTTTTTTAATTCAGTAAGACGATGTTGGGCTCTCTTATTACCTTGTGCTGAATATAATCAATAAGTCAAATATCAGTTGATATTATTAGCTAAAGCTTTCAAATTAATTACAATAAGAGAAAAGAATTGTACCTGCCGCACGTAAATACCAACGCCGTGCTTCCTCAGGATCCTGGTTTACACCAATTCCCAGTTCTGAATAATATCCTATTGCATATTCTGCTTTAGAAAGACCTTTATCTGCAGCTTTACGTGCCCATAAATAGGCTTCAGTGTCAGATTGCTTTAAGACAGGTTCACTACCGGTCAAATACCATCCTGACAAAGCCAATTCTGCATCTGCATCTTCTTGTTCCGCCGCTTTCGAATAATAATAAATAGATTTTTGCGGGTTTATTGGCACATTCAACTGACCATATTCATAAACACAGCCAAGCTTCAAACAAGATGGGGCATAACCTAAATCGGCAGCCCTATGGAATTGCTCCAAGGCAAAACGTTCATCATGAATTATGGAAGGAATTTCTTTTTGAATATCCTTCCTTTCGTGTAATAATCCTAATTCGTGAAGTGCGTGAGGATTCTCTTCGTCAGCTTTTTGTGCAGCACGTTTCAGCCAAGTTACAGCCTCACGTGGGTTTTTTGTTTGTGATAATAATCCCATTAATAAAATTGTGCCTAATTTATACATGGCAGCTGTATCGCCTAATGCGGCAGCTTTTCGAAAAAATTGAGTAGCACGATGTGGATCCCGTTTTGTACCACCACCAACTTCGTAGCAGACAGCAGTTCGATAAGTTGCAGATGAATGATTTTGTTTAGATGCTTGCATATAAAGACTAAATGCTTTTTCTTGATCAAAAGGCAAGCCCAAAGCTCCGTGTCCATAGGCACCTGCCAAATAAAATTGTGCTTCAGGATATGCGGGTTTTCCGAATCCAACTCCTTGAGTGGCTAAACGACGTATTATTTTAACGGCCTCTTGTAGTAAACTATCTTTTGCTTTGTTTTTAGATTTTTGATTCGTGACATCTTCTTTTTGCTCTTGTGATGCTTCAACCAAATATTTGGCAAATTTTAGTAAAGTTGCTGGATCACCAGCACTTTTGGCTTTACTACGATATGCTTCGATAGCTTCAGGTGTATAAGAAGGTTTATTAACATCGACACTTTTTACAGAATTCGAATTATCAGCATCATATTGACGATTTGGTAATGGGCCCTTCATTGAATATTGACGTCCTAAAGTTGAACTTCCGTAAGGATCTTGAGAATATTCTTGTGGATGTGAAAGAGGATATCCTTGCTGTGGATAATCCTGTGAATATGAACTATGTTCTTCATAAAATTGACCTTTTTGATCAGGCGGATAATAGTTTGAAGGCATTGGAGCACCATCGACATTATCCCCATAATATGAATTAGCATCTACTGGATAATTTTGTTGATATCCATTATAGCCATAGCCTTCTTGAGGCGGAGGATAATCTCCTTGGGGATGTTGATATAAATCAGTTTGGAGAGAAGGAAGGGAAGAATAATCACCTTGAGGTAAATGTTGTTGCTGTGATGGATATTGTTCTTCCTGGTGAGGAGGGGGCGGGGGAGGATAATTAGGGTTAGGATGAAGAGGTGGAAGATAAGGTTTATTAGAAGGATGTTGTTGAGGGGAATAATCATAACTATCTTCGGGATATGCGCCTGCATTTCTTTGATTATAGTTACGATTATCATATGAATCATACTGTCCATTACTATAATATGGCTGTTGATGATCGTGCTGCTGTGGTTGTAAAGATTCTCCTCCTTCTCTTGATTCTGGTAGATATGACGAAGCATTATTCTGTCGAAAAGGCGGTTGTGGACTACTTCGTGTATCTGGATAAGTTGATCCGCTATTCTGTCGAGAAGGCACAAGTTCTTCTCTGGGATCAGCAGCGAGATAAGGTGATGAATTATTTTGCCTTCTTGAAATTGATGATTGATGATGAAAATCGCCTTGAGGTCTCGCCATATCAGGACGAGGTGAAACACTATTAGATCTTTGTATATCACGAGGATCTAATTGAGATCCTGGTGAGACACCTCTCGCGTCGGCGCGGGAAGAAATAGTATTTTTCCGATCTAATTCTCTAGGATCTAGCTGATGACTATGATATCTACTACTATCTGTTGATAATGATGAGTAGGAAGTTTGTTTATGAATAATATGCGGGTCATACTGCTGTGGTAGTGGTCCCTGTCGTATAGGATCTACTTGTACAGGAATAGGTCCTTGATTGTATTCTGCGGATTGTGCTAAGGTAGTTTTTCTTTGAAGACCTTGATAGTCTTGATGTTGCTGATGTTGTTGTTGCTGATGTTGTTGTTGCTGTTGTTGATAGGGAGCTTTATATGCTCCCCTAGAATCATATTTCTGTGGATACTGGTTTTGCATGTAAAAAAACTACGCAAATAAAAAGTAGTAGTAGTAGTTTGGTGTATGTAAAGAACGAAATAAATCGGAACGTCTTTTCTATGTTAATATATCGGATATGTATAAGGCACAAGAAAAGGAACCACACAAATTCTATGTAATACAACGTATGTCACTAATGCAGAAATTACAAAATTACAAAAATATATATACTGGTCCAAGTTTATTACCGGTTGTTCGACATGCTGATGATCTTATAGATCTATACTGATCGAGATCTTCATAGGACTAAATTTTTTACTGGATAAATAATATCAATAATTAGTTGCATTGTGACGACAATTTCTCGAGTTCGAACTAGTGCAATTCATGCGATTTATCATGTGATTATAAAAATAATAGCCATTCTTTCTAAATTCACACATTTTCAAAATGACTGCTGCACCGCTTTTCAAGACCGAAACAGCACGTTTAAATGCTTTTTTGACAGACTGCCTATCCGTTGGCTGCTTAAAGGTGGGAAAGCAGCTAACTTGAACCTGACATAATCTGTATTTTCTGACATTATTATCTAGGGAGCTTTTTACCGTTCGAATTCTCTAAGTTTCGTTGCTATTATCATTATAACGTAGGGTTTTAAGCATTTTGAAGTATACTTGCGAGGACGAGAAGAATTATTACTAAGAGTCTATAATGTTGGTAAACCAAGTTCAGAACTAGAGGCCAGTCGGCGAAGTTATAATTCTTTATCTTTAGCAAAATCACAGTAAGCATTTATTACAATCAAATGATTGATTGGAATTATGCTGAAATAATTAAATTTTCTTGGATTTAAGGAGCAATGCGCTTTTTTCACCCAAAACTTTTCGAAAGTGAGTTTCATCCTTCGTATTGTTGTTTCATGATCTACTCGATCGATCAAAAAAAAATGCTAATTTTATACATGACCACAATTTATTTTTAGATTAAGCAATGGGTCAGAAACATCAGCTTTGTTCCCACCAAATAGTCCATTAGATAAAGAATTGGCACGAGTAAGACAATCAATTATTAATTAAATGTACTTGCAACTTTATCATTTGTTAAATTAATTAAAATGATGGTTAACTTTTACAGGATGAATCTAAAACAGTATTTTTAATAGCCGGATACGCTCGCTATAAATGTCCTTATGTTTGGGTATGTAAATTTCAAAAAATTACTATTAACACAAAGTTCAGTATTAGGATGCATAATACTGCACGGTCAACATTGTTTTTCTATTTATCAGTTGCGCTCAAATCATAAACGTCTAATTCAACTACAAGACAACGAGAGAATCGAAACAGATAATCCATTGAAACTTGAGACAATAGCTACATGGAAAAATCAAGGTATTCATCTTTATATTGGTTCTAGAAATGTCTATATATTTTTTTTTGGAATATTAATCACCAGGAAGACCGACTAATAAGTTATTCATTAATTGAACGGCAGATGTAATGCTCTGGGACATTATAGCAGAAATCGTAACACTCTCACTTTCACCATCTCCTGCCAATCCTTTCGAGATAGATCATTCGTATTATGAGACATTACCATTAGAAGAATGTGCCGTGAGTACAGGAGCAATGGCAGATTTTCTTCAAAAGGTTTATCTTAAAGATACATCTTATGCTGACAAAGGTATGCATGTCTAATGAATATACGTGTTAAATAACATAATTCGGAAATTAATTTCTTTATTTTTAATTACATTTTCGAATAGTTTTTGAAGACCTCAAAATACTTTTTCAACGACATTTTGGAGCGCTTGACGAAATGAACGACGCACTAAACAACAACACTTTGGAAAAGTCGAATCCTTCGTCTTCTAATGTGTCAACATTAACACACGCATAATTTAATCATTATAATTATTACTAATGAAACAAAGATAAGAAATAATCAATATTTCGCCACCCCTCTTCCCCTTTTGACATAGTGCTGGACATAATCTAAGTGATCGATCGAAAGACTATAAATGCTAATTAAAACTCAAGTTGAGTTTTAAGATAATGACTTACGTCATTATCTTAATTACGATACCTAAATACTTTTTAATTATGATAAATATTTTCATTAAATCTCCTGTAAAGTAACAAAGGGACAAGTCTGGTCGCTTATTGGGTAACATTAATAATTACGTTAATACTAATAAAGTTCTCATTGACAATAATTGTGGGGGATCATGATGAAAATTTGCAATATCTTATAATAAACTATAAACAACAATTATACTAATAGATTTATATAGTACTTAGCAATATAAACATATTTTATGCATATATCATTTTCAAAATATTATAAGAAATTGTCGATTATTCTGGCCAATGATCCATGATCTGCACAATTTTAACCAAAATTTTCACCATAATCCGTTTTTCATCATGATCCCCCATTAACACGCGAGAATCCAAAAAATTTTTTTAAGGTCAGTATCAATCATCATTTTTCACATTTCAAACAAGCAAAAATCACGAGACAATATTAACCAGATTTTTAGGTAAAATAAAAATTCGAATCTGTTCATGTTCTGTGTTCGTTCAAAGGTTCTGTCTGTCTGTCTGATAAATAGATACAAGCAAAAAATATAATATATAAAAATATTGATAATGACATTTTTAGTATATATAATATAGCAAAAATAAAAACAATAGTATGAGAACTACTAAGTATACTAAAAACCAAACCGAGATATAATATGATAACCAATATATTTGATGATATATATAATAATATGAAATAACAAAAATAATTGAAGAAAAATGTGTGGCGTTCGAATTCTGTTCTGATTTGTATATTATACGAAATTAATTATAAAGTAATATAATAAAATAAAATAGAATAATAAATATCGTGTGTCTGTCTGTTCTGTCTATGGTTTGTTCTGTTCTGTTCTGTTCTGTTCATTAAAAGAGGTTCTGCTCGAATGTATAGATTCTGTTCTGTTTGTTCGTGAAATAAGTGAAAAAAAGGTTCTGTTCTGTTCTGTTCTGTTCGAAAGGTAAAAAATCTGTTCTGTTCTGTTCTATCAAAGAAACATTAAAAGGGGACTAGTTCTGTTCTGTTCTGTTCTGTCGAAGGGTTTTGTTACGTACACAAACGAAAAATATTCGAATGTATATCAAACAAATAAAAAAGGAATATGGTTCTGTTCTGTTCTGCTCTGTTCTGTGTTACGAAGATACATATAATAAAAAAAAAAACGAAAAAAAATAAAACGAAAAAAATAAAGGTTCTGTTCTGTTCTGTTCTGTAGTAGTAAGATAAATGTTCTTTTCTGTTCTGTTCGTAAAATTCGTGAAAAATGTTGTAGCTAAATACGGGTAAGTTTTATTCTGTTCTGTTCTGTTCTGTTCGTTAAATATTTTCTGTTCTGTTAAGAAACGAAAAAAGGTTTGTTCTGTTCGATCTGTTCTGTTCTGTTGTATATAAATAAATAAATAAATAAGGTTTGTTCTGTTCGATCTGTTCTGTTCTGTTCTGTTCTGTTGTAGTTAAAGGTATCAATGTTCTGTTCGTAAAAAAACGTAAAATGTTCTGTTCTGGTAACCAATGTTCGATCTGTCTGTTCGGTCCTATTCTGTTCTGTTCTGTTTGGTCCTATTCTGTTCTGTTTGTTCTGTTCTGTTCTGTGGTCGTTGATATTGCTTAAGTTGTTTGCTAATATGATATTGTAAATCATAAAAGGTTGAAGAAGTCGTCGACTTCATCAAATAAAAACGGTCTTTGGTTTCGAGACTCTATATATGAACTGTAATAGAGCCATCTTTTTCAAGTAACCAGATTCGTGTCAAAAGTAACCAGGTATCGAGGGGAAGGGGGTATGGGTAAAATTTGTAAAACTGAGAAATTGGATAAATGAAAACTTTCACCATGATATATTATTTGTCATTAGAAGGGGAGGGATGGGAAAAAGTGACTTGTCAAAAACTTTCGCTTGTTTTTGATTCGTCAGAACCACAACATTCAAAGGGGCTCTATACTGTGAAAGAATCGTCGCAAGGACATAACCTCGCTCCGTGTGCCAGAAAAAAACTTCATCGGGCGTACAACCATTATGCTCCGTATGCCAGGCTTTGTTGCTTCATAATATCGGGAACTTGTAGTCCAAGGTGATTTCGCGGCAGTGCCATTCGGTATGCAATTTCAGTATTCGTTAATTACATTTGCGTAATCTAAGAGCTAAAAGTAGAAAGGCATTGCGCTAATATCCCTATAATCCAATAGTTAGGCTTAGGCCCATTGGCAGTGACCAGCGGCGGTTCCGTATCCTTAGGTAATTTCCAATAGCAGTGACCAGCGTCAATAATCATGTACTTGTGGCGTTCATTTCGCAGTCGAGTTGTCAAAGTGGATAGGATCGGGGATGTTGAAACAATGAAAATTGTGTGTGTATGATAAAAAGATGTTGTGGGCGCAGGGTGCTAGGTCGAAATTATCGAAGTTGCACCCTTGCTAACGAAAGAGTTTCTATGATAAAAAGCTGTTTATGTATACGTGTAGTTAACAGTAGAAGAAAGAGATTCGTTAAATAAAAAGTAAAAGATCGAAATATATAAATCGGAGTTAACTACAACGAATTTATGTATGTGGCACACATAATAATTTAAATGATAAAACTGGAGAGCGAAATTTTTATATAAGAAGTCTTAAAATACCTCCTCGATGATGATGGTGTGATGATTGAACCGAGAAAAGGGTGAGAATAAGTCATATAAAAGTGAATGGGTGCAATATGTCCGCAATAAGCGACACAAAGATCTTGAGTGAGAAGGTGTGATGAATTGTTGTCATGAGATGGTGATGAGCACGAAGGCTCAAAGCCATGATGATGGAGATATGTGCCACACTTTTATTGCTTACTCTATGTGAAAAGGTGATTTGTGTTGATGATGTTGATATTATATTTATGAGGTGAGAGATCCAGTGAATGTTTTCATTTATTTCTTCGGTCTTACATTAAAAAATACGAGAGCATTTGTGATTCTTGCGAACATAAATCCAAATGCTCAAGGCGACTATAAAAGTGAAGAAGTGATGTGGTCGAATGTGATGAGTAGTGGTAGGAGGATGATGATGATGGTAGTAATGGTGATGCCAGTGAATTTCTGATGAAATTCGTGATCATTACTGACATATGGACTTGATCCTCATCTTTGCTTTATCGAATCATTCAATTATTAATAGAGGACGATTTTTGATTTTGATAATAGTAATAAAGAGCAATTGTGATAGCAAAAGATGAGGGAAGGATTAGTTAGTTGTAAAAGAGAGTAAAGAATGATAGTGAATTCGAAGCTGAGTGCTGAGTGGTAAATGGTAGTGATGGTAAAGTCGTGATGGAATTGGTGGACGGTATTTGGAGGATGTGGAGAGAGAAAGGGCGAGAAGAAGGCGTGTATTCAAGGCATCGAATCACCAAACGTTTGGTTCCTTTGTTGTTATAGTAGTTGTTGAAAGAGTAAAGAGAGAGGGTCCAAGACGTGTGGAGTTTCGGTTGGGGAACATCAATTTCTTGAAAGTGTACGTGTTCCCTTTAATCCCATGAGCCTTCTTTGAATAGAATGTCGAATATCTAGGTGTAGACGACGTTATCTCAGATTAGATTACCTAGTAAGAAGTAGGTGATAAACGGTTGGGTGGTGGTGCTTTTTCCATTTGTCTTGTCGACGTCACTTTAGGCGAAGAAGAAGAAGAAGACCACAACGAAGATTGCGAACGTTGTTATTCTTCTTCCTCTTCTTCCCACAAACTAAAGAAAAAGCGCCAAACTTCTCCATTGTGAATACACACCATATCGCCCATAAGGTCATACCCATCCTCTGTCGGATGAGTACCGTCGGAATCCCAGAATATTTTACGTTGTTCTTCAGTAAGCGAGTTCATCGGGAGAAACTTGTCGAGAAGGAAAAGTTGATACGCATTTCGGGTGGTACTATTATTATACACACTTTTATATGATTACACATATATAATATAAATAAATATTATATTATATTATTATATTATATTATTATTATAATACAATAATACAATAGAAATAATAAAGAGACGAAGAGTAGATAAAGTAGTTATTAGCATTTGAAGCTTGAGGAAAGAAAAAGAGAGGAAAGGGGGGGAGACGAGATATATTTATAGAAAAAAGACAAGGTTCATTTTACTTACTTTAAATGTTCATTAACTATTCGCCGTTGGTAGTCCAAATGATTTACGGAGTCCTTATTTATTTATATTCATTGTGTTATTATTAGTATCATGTGCAACAAACAAACAAGTAAAGTGACGGGTAAGATAAAAATGTGTGAGGCGAGTGAACGTTTCTCTTATAAAGTTTGGGCTGTGTATGTGAATTAGAAGTGTGTACAATGGTGTAACCCTTACCCAATCAAATTCGGGTATTGTAATTCCCAAAATGCGAGCTCCGTGTTTAGAACTAAGTGTGTACAGTTTCTTTAGTCCATCAAATATGTCCCATGCAGAATATCCTTGGAACACATCGTTGGTTCCTAATAATATGCGGTGTAAATGTGACAATTGGTTGTTGTACTGATTAGTAAAATAATATATGCAACAGATATATTATGCATACAAATGAACATATATGTGTATAAACATATATATATATACATATATATTATGCATACATCAATTACAAAGAAAAAGGAGAATTACAAAGAGAAAGAAGAATTACAAAAGGCACATATAAATAATGACGAAAGAGACGAAAGAGAAGAAAAGAAGTGTAGCACAACTTATTTATTATTTATATGTATGTGAAGAGTACTCGGAAGAACGTGGGGTGTGTGAGAGAGAGAAAGAATAAAATAAATGAAATAAAAAAAGAATTATAATTACCTCCCAAGATGACTATCCAATCATACCATTTACCAGGCTGTTCAAGTTCACGTTTCAACCTTTCTTCCATGTGAACGCAACATTCACCTGGAACACCACTCACGGTAACTTCAACGTCTAATCCTTCGTCGTCAAACCGTTTTTGAAGTCTTAAACCATAAGGATGATAAGTTCCATAACCGCCTTCACACCAGCCTATTCATTTAATATGAAATGGAAATGAGAATGAAGGAATATCAGTCACGGACTACCATAAAAAGTATTCATTTATATCGTGACGATGATATGTCAGATGGTAGAAGAGATAGAATAGATTATCCGATATTGATTTTTTACTTTGCTAACGGGTTTATCAATGGAACCTTTTTTATCATTGAAACCTTTTACCCATATACCACTACACCATCACCACTACAACTACAACTACTACATCGTTTTGCTTAATTTACTGCGGTATCCACGTGGTCCCACGAGAAAGTACTGCTTTGTTGAATCGGAAGAAGTTTGTCTCTGTTTTCATTGTTGTCATTATCGTCATTGTTGTCATATATATCGTGATAGTATTTATTATAGTAGTAGTGTAGTGATGGTGTGTTCTTTTTTTTCAATTACTAACCTGCAGTTAAACTATCACCGAATAGCAAAATATTATACCTCCTTCGAGGAGCGTTCGCGGCATTTACCACCGTTGTGCTCCGTTTTCGTCGCAATACCGACTTCACGACAACCTGATGCTGCTGAGGTGTCGTCTGATACAGTCGTGTATTTTCACCTTGTTCGAAGCTGCTACTCAGTAACGGTTGTTTCTCGGAAACTTCTTGTTGCATAGACGATGTATCATTACTACCATCATATTCTGAAGACTCTTCGTCGACGATGGTGGCATCGTCGTCGTCGTCGTCGTCCAAGTACTTGTTACTAACACAGCATATGCTGTTCTTTATTCTACGAAGCATACCCATTTAGGTGCGTGTGTATGTGTTCTTTCGGTTAGGTATGTGTATGTATGTGAGAAAGTACGGAGGTATTGGTTATATGTGTGTGTATAGTTTGTTGTCCCCTTTATGATATTATTGTACGAGCAAGTCGATGTATATGTGTGAGGGAAGAAAGAGAAGAAAAGAATACGTCTTTTTTTTACTGGTTAAAGTAAAAAAAGTCGGATATTCTTTTTTTCTCTTTTTTTAATGAAGAGACAAGAAACGAACGTGGGGAAAAGAACGAAAAAATATTATTAACGGGAACTCGATTATTATTGATGTTTTTATTATTAAGTATTATTGTTAGTATTACTACTCTGATATCCTAAATATCAAAAAAATAATAATTATTATTTAAAGTGTGAAAAAAACGAAGTGATTGCAGTAATGATAAAATAACAGTAATATAACAATAATATAATAATAATAAATAATGTGCGTGTAGTATAAATGATTTGTGATTGATGATAAGTGGAAAAAGGAGGAAGAAGAACGGAAAAGGCGCAAGCAAAAACGAGAGCTTGACAAATTCTTTATTATTTCATAAGTTCAACGTCGTGCGTGTCGTTGCGAAATTTTTTTGGGGATTTTTTATAGTATATATAAAAAATGATGTCGTTAAAAAAACGAAAAAAAAAAGCGAACAGTAAATTAATAAATACACGTATACAATAGGATTAGGATAATAGGATAGATAATAGAGGTGATAAAAAAAGGTGTACCGAGCGAGGGTACTTGGGCGAGTGTGCAAAAAAAGAAATAACCAGAAGAGGGGATAAAAGTTTTTCAATAAATAGAAGGTGTGTCTGGCTGTCCGGTTTGTTCTTTTTGTCCAGTAGTAGTAACTATGTTTTCACGATTTCGTTGTCTATCCGATACATTTATTTATTGTGATATTGTAGAATATTGTGTGCTCAACAACACACGTATGTATGTGCCGTACATACGTGTTTGTCGTATATCGCATGCACGTAGTGCGTTTTTGTGTTTGGTGTGTAAATAGAGAAGAGAGAAGGCAATTTGTGCTTCCAATATTATATTTAAGAAAGCCAGAACGCGAGAATCTTTCTCTCAAAAACACAATCAATCTAACAAAAACCAATAAAATCGATCACATTTGATCTGAATTTCGACATATTATTTATTTATTTATATTAACAAGTTTATTTAATGATATCAAATGCCATGTTTTTCTGTCAAGACCCTGAGAAAACATAATTACGAGCAAATATTAAAGTACGATGGTAATTAAACGATGCGATAAAAAAAACATAATGGATAATTAAAATTACACACGCAATGTGACTCCACAAGAAAGCACCAATCAATCAATCAATCATCCCCAAAAATACAAAATATATAGAATTGACCATGAGAAGATCCCCCAAAGGCCTGTGCGACTCCTGTCATTTTTAATATAGATAACCAAATAAATAAATCAATAAGTAAATCAACAACGATAAACAAATAGAAAAGTAAATAAAATAACGTTACATAAGATGGGGCGTCAGAGGATACACTATTATTATTATTATTATTATTATTATTATTATTATTATTAATAATATTAATTTAATTTAACATGAATATAAAAAGTTGTTCAGGTGACTTCTACAACTTTCTTATACTATGTAGATCTTCCGCTTGATTTGGATAGTGAATGTTTAATGATTGGTGCCAACTTGACTGTCTTATGTGTGTGTATGCGTGTTCTCGGCATCATCACCAACAACAGTATGACATACATTTCGTCGCTTCTGATATGGGAAACAAGTCAGTAAGTAATACTCTTTCTAATGCTTGTAAAAACCATCTAGATAAGGATAAGTGGAATAAATTTGTGTCTATCTAGAAAAGATAGAAAACAGAAGTGACATAAAAAAGAAAGAAAAACAAGATAGAGATCGATAGGAACGTTGGATTAACATAGCATATACATATCTATTATCTATTGATGTATCTATTGATTTGTCCAAGAATGTAAATTATATATTTATGAAAATATATCTATTTATGTACGTATACATGTATATATGTAAGGGGGAACCCTGATATGGTATTTTTAATGACGTCACTTTAACCTAACCAAACGCAAGAACAATGAATGAGAACAATCATTGGTAGTGATCATGATATAATAGCCATGAGTGATCTTGTGTTACTTTACATTTCATACACAAACATGATGAACGATGCTGTTGTCAAGAAGCATTGATGACGTTTAATAATCCAATATCTTGTCAAAAAATCGATGTTTGTTTTCACGAAACTCCCTTTTTAATTATACTCACCTATTTCAATAAGATAAAATTGCATACATGTAAAGCGTGGCGAAAATCCTAAATTCTCCCGCCATTCACCACCCAACCAACCAAAATTATTCCTTAACAAATTGATGATTGGATATTCAATTAAATGAAATATATTAATGGTAATTAATTGAACGCAAAAAGCAATAAATAAAATAAATCAAGCTTAATTAATTAATTGATTAGTTAATTTACAATAAGAGAATGTTCTATGAAAAAAAATTATTATTCATACCAAACTTGACCATTTCTATTCACTCATCTCCAGTAATTATAATACTTATCACCGTGTATTTTCATATTATCCGATAATCCATCCCAGTTAGTTCTGGGTAATTCCTCGCCTAACAAGACTTTATCCTGCTCTGCCTGATTTTTCTTTTTTTCTCCATCCTTGAGTTGTCGTAGCTCTATAAAATCTTGTCTGAGCCATTGTTCAACCACCTTTAACAGTGGAGAATCCATATCTCTGCGTAGATGGGCAGTTGAAGGAGATGATGATTGAGTATCTTTTTCATTGGTTGTGCGTAACTCAAGTGATTTGGTGATCATTTTGTCAAGTTCAGGAAAGTCATTATAGAAATCGTGCAATGCAACGATTGCTCCACGTTTTATATGAGCAACGTGGGTTGGCCAATCTCCGAGTCCTTCAATGGGTGATTTAAAAGGTATGCGATACAGTTGTGAGAAATCACATAGATGGCTAAAAAAGCACGAGAACCAACCAACATATTCTCCACGACAAAATTGATCTGCACACGTTACCATCAAATATATGTGTTGCGTAAACCTAATTAGAAAATAATAATAATTCAATAAGTAAATAAACAAGTAAAAAACTAAAAAAAAAAAAAACTTACAATCGTAGCATTTCTTTCTTCCGTTTCTTTTTTCAAATACACCAACAAATCACTACGAACCAAAACATCCAAATCCACTGTAACCTCATCCAGCAACAACAGGTCCCATGGCTGAATCAACCCTAACACCAATTGTACTCTGCGTCTCTCACCATCCGAAACCAGATGCATTCTCCAATTAGGATTAATATCCATAATTTCAAGCAATTTATCACGTCTTTCGACGTATCTATCGCCATTCATATTCGACAGTAAGGTGGAAACTAGAACATCCCCTCGAACTACTGGATTATTTGCCCATTCAGTTCCCAGGTAAGTTACACCCTGAATTATTATTGATAGAGTGTCGCGACCATTTAAATTTATCGATGTATGTGTAGTATACACATGTCATTAGTTGAACTATTTAGTTTTACCGATGGTGTATCCCTGAAAGCATTCTTCCCGAACACGTTAACTTTATCACGGACCATTCGTTTCCCAGCAAGTATGGTCAATAATGTAGACTTTCCAGCGCCATTGGCACCTTGTAATATAATTATCACAATTAATTCTGAATTGTAACATTCTCTTATTATCTAATATCATAACTTACCAACCAATAAACACCTGCTCCCTTTATGTAACTCCAAATGCAAATTTTGAAGAATTAGTGGTCCCCCAAAGCTATAATTTAGGTTTAATGCTTCAATTGCAAGCTCCTTGTTTGGAGTAACATCATTTTCTCTTAATAAAGAATCCATTAATTCAAAAAACGGTTTGAAAAATAAAGTTTTGGATGACTAACAGATTTGGTAATCATTATTAATAGAGCGGAGATTTGAAATTATGTAAGCATTAGAAACAAATTATATGCGAAAATTATATTTTATTTGTCATAAATCAGAATGAACATTTTAATTCAAGACCTCCGTTATAGTCACATAACAGTTTTATAATAAATGTGATTATCGAAAGGTGATTTTATTATAATTAAAAAATGTGATGTAAATGATTATGATTAACTGAATTTATTAATTTTACTAATAATCCAACTATTTTGATATTAATAAAATAAATAAACATTTAAAATGACAATTATCATATTAACTTATTCCCAATAGAAAAGTAATATATATTAGATAATATTTTAGAGAGTGAGAGAGGATTTTCAAAAATCTTACCTCATATCAATATCACGTGATATGTGATAATGTAATAATATCTTACCTGGAAATGAAAAATAAATGTCAAAGTCCTTATTAGTGTTGGCAATTGAACCAATTGAAACATAATAAAATTGCAAACAAATTATTCTAATATATTTATTTTTTATTCAATTTAATATAATTGAATATATAAAATTATTAAATGCTTATTAAAATTTTTTTAAATTTATTAATAAACTTGTATAATCAAATCTCTCTATAGTTATTATTCTTAGAAAAGTAAAATTGAAAATTATAGAAAAATTATAATTATAAAAAGATTTTTTTATTATGTTTATATATACACAAAAAAAACAAAATAGAATAATTATAGAATATAACTATAAATAAATATGATTATAGATGAGTTTGATTTTATTTAATATAGTGAAATTATATAATATTATAATATAAATTTTTCTTTTAATTTAATTTTTTATAATTATTATTTTCAAAAAAACAAAATTAAATAATTATAGAGAAATTGTAATTATAAAATGATTTTTTTTAATATATTATATATAAATAAAAAAGCAAAATAAAATAATTATACAAAAATATAATTATAAAAAAATGTGATTATAAAAAAGTTTGATTATATATTAAAAATGAATTATATTATTTTTTAAATTGTTTAGCAGACAAATTTGTTTATTAAAATTTTTCTAGCTTATTTTTGTACATTTATTTCTAATTTTTATAAGTTCAATCTTTCTCTTTTTCTAAGCTAAAATAAAAATATTTGATTTATCTTGTAATCAATTCTATAATAATAAAAATTTTTTAAAATTGCTTATTTTTAACTTATAAACAATTATAATTTTTTTATAATTATAAAAAAGTGAAAATAACTATTATATAATATATAATTAAAGCTAATATTAAACAGACTTTTTTAAAATATTTTAATTTCTGGTAAAAATATATTAAATATAAATTTATAGAATTTTAGTGGGCAAATTTGCCTGCTAAATCTGATAGTTTAAGAATAATACTTTTCATATATTGAATTTATTAATTGAATTATTTCAAAAATTAATAATTAAATAATTTTAGATTACATATTATATTTAAAACATGTAATCTTTGTTGTTCTAATTAAATTGTTTTTTTAATTATTTTTTAATTAATAATAATTGTGGCAAATTAAAATGAAAAAAACTTAATTCTGAACCCTTTTTCATAATTGTCACCAAAAAAAAAGGTCATTTTAATCTGGATTGCTATAATTACATATAATTGGTTTTGATTATATCAAATAATACCCAAAAATTCAAATTTTTGTTTTTAATTTATAAAACACAAGAGCAAAATCACAAATTATTATTAGAGAAGGTTTTTCGACCAGTTTTTTGATATTTAAACTTTTATAATATCGATATACTGTATTATTGGTCTGGCAATTTTTGTCAAGATAAAAGAATATCTGGTTTAAACCACGTGGCAATTAGTGAATACTTGAACACGAAATTTTTTAAAACGTCTTTGTGAAAGATGACTTCTGCGATAAAGACCCAAGATTTCAACAGCTCAAAACTTCAAAGCACTTTTTCACAGAACTCTCCCTCTGTCACAACAGAAAGCACCTCTCACGTCGCCTCTATAATAAAAAAAGAAAATACCGCACCAATTCCCACAAATCATACAAATGGGGTGAGTAACAGTATCACGAGTAGCATTTCCACCACGAAAACAACCGTCAGTTCAAAGAACATGCCAAGTTCTACACCAGCCATAAATATTTTCTCAAATGACGGAAGTTTCTTGGATCGGTTCAAAAAAATGAAAGCTGAAGAAGATGAGAAAAAGAAACAGCGTGAAGCTCTAGAAAGGTGAGACGAACCAGTGTCCGCAATTTGATTTATTTCCCCTCGACCATGTTATTTTCAAGTTTTGTTTTCTTGGAATGCTTGGTAGTTCTGCTTTAGCCGTCCAAAGATGTGATTTTTGGAGATTTGTTCGATGGGATACTGAATTAATGAAGTTAGTTTGATATCTTGCCCTTTGGATTTTCCCCGTTATTTCTTTCGCACCCGAAACAAACACTCTACTTTGATATATTTGATTGATTTCGAGCAAACGATTGAAATTTTGAGTACTCACGCACCTATTTTATAAAAATAAATACTACCACAAAAAAACCAATAAAATCCCATATATATATATATTATATATATATATATATACATATATATATATATCTTACACACATCGACTCTTTATTATCCTACTGCGTTTTTCATTTGCTTTTTGGTTGCTGCGGGTGTGTTGTTTGTGTATCTTGTCGAATCAAATAGGAAGAAGGCTTTCGAAGATCGAATTGTAAGTGTATTTTTGCTTTGATTTTTCTTTGAATTAAAATTATTATATTTATCAAATCAATGAATTCAGAGAAATCGTGGTAAACGCAAGAGTCCACCCACGGAGGATGTTGACCAAGATCCTAAACGTACAAACGTAGAAGTGGAGGACAATGAGACATTAGATCCAAAAGCCAATGCTTACTTGAAAGAAATGCAAAAATACAATGAACGCTTATGTAAAGATGATTCCGGTCATGTTCGTCCATTGGTCAAATAATGTAAATAATTACAATGTATAATCCAGGGTAAGGAAGGAAATGGTATATTTGCATACATATATACATACATATATATATGTGTGTGTGTGCGTGTGTAAAATGATTGAGGACTATTGAATAATCTATGATAGGCAAGAATAACAACAGCAGCTAACTTTAGTTATTATTGGAAAATGGATTCGGTCTGAATGAAATTTAATGTAATCATAAAATTTATAAATTTTGCAATTTTATTAATTTTTATTTTATTTTTATTTGATATTTTTCTCTATATAATTTTGTCATTTCTAATTAATTTTTCGTTATCAATAGTATTTTTTTTATTATATCAAGTTTGCAATTATTAATATTAATAATAAATATCAACAAAATGATTATAAATCTCTAATTTTCTGTCTAAAAAGATACTGTTTTCCAATAACAGTAAATAAAGAAATAAATTATTTTTCAGAATTCTTTTCATTAATGGTGGTATCCCCGTCATTTACAAGATAATACGGTAACGCAGCCTGCATTTTTTCCATTTTCTCGGTAGTAACTAACCATTCAGGCTTCACGATAGGTATACTACTTTCCAAAGCTCGACTATACTCCGGACCACCTTGAACATTACAAAGTAAATGAGTTGTATCCGGACCAACATGGTCACTCCACCTCGCGCCAATTCTTTTCAGAATCTCCTTTAATTCATCTTTCTTTGGTATGCCGTCATCACTTTCCGAGAATGCCCCGAAACAAACAACAATCCCGGTAAGATTTTCCAGCGTGTGCGTTCGAACGCGAATTTTATTCGAGACGAATGATCCGGCTGTTGTTTTGATGGTGATGTGAAAGTCGTATTCTGTGTCCATTTCGAGGCCACTTAATTTGATAAAATTGATTCCCGGAGGAACATGTTGACTTAATTTCACTGCGTTTTTGTAAATATCCAAGGACTTCAATTTTGCTCGATGTAGTACCAGTGGAGTCCATTCCAATATTACTGATGTCTGTGTAATGTGTTTTACGTGTAATTTTGGTGCCTCTGGTGGATTTCTCCCGAATTCATTTAGAATCGAATCTTGTAATTCCAAAAACTCTTTCCTTTTTGCTTCTTCCTGTTCGTAGTTTCTATTTACTGCAATATTTACTATACTGCCCGAAGCGACACCAGGTGGCAATAACAATGAAGGAAACTCTATGAGGTGATGGTCCTCGGTCAACAAGATGGCCTTAACAATAGGAATTCGTAGTTTGAGATTTTGAAAAATGGGGTTGACAAGACAAATTTTCAGCTTACCATTCCGGCATCAAGTTTCCCTACTGTGAATTGTACAGAAGTTGTACTTGTCATATTATCTTCTTTCCCTCAGATTGAGACCGATTCAAATCGCGTGTCAACAAAAAAGTACAAATGTTAAAATAAGGTACAATGCAGATCCGTTTAAATTAAAAAAATTTCATTTTACCTATTTTGTCTCGAAATTTGATTTTGCTTTAAACATAGCAATGAGTTCAAATAATACAGTTTTGTACTTTACGCAAGAATTGACTCGTTTATTGAAAGCTGCTCAAGAAGAATGGGGCGTAAGTGCAGAAAGTACAAAGGAAAATAGAGCCAGTTCTGAGGCGAAAACCTTTCCACAGTCTTTATCTGGTATTGTTCAGTTCTACTTGTCTTTAAAAATAGAGGATTATTAACCAATAAAACCCAAAAAATTAGTACATCCACTTGGTCCTGTAAACATGTCTCAACTCGCAGCTGAATTTTCCAAAAACATAAGTATGATACGAGAAATTTTAAAAAGATTTCGTGATTCTTTACATAATGCCGCAAGTTGTGGACCACAAGCAGAATCGCATATACGTAAATATATTCATAATTTAAGAGTACGTAACTGGTTATTTTTCTTTGATAATTCCTTAGGAATTAAATTCATCTTATTAATTTTCCATATTAATAGGAGAAAGCACAAATTACTGGGATTCTTACAGACACACAAGAGAATCTAACCATTTGCAAAGGCATGATCTTGGATGCATGTACTGATTACATGGCCGATTCTCAGCTTACTATGAAACAGGTTATGAGAATCGCCCTGGATCACAGGTATAATTTCAGTGTATCCTTATCTATTTGTTTATTAATTTGAGAAATTAAATCTTATTCTTTTATCTTCCACGAAGAACTGGAACACTGGTCGAAAAATCTACAGAACAGATTGGAACAAACAGAACAACGTTGACTATTATCTTGAAAATTATAGTGCTTGATGTGAGAATCATATCTACGCGATTTCTTCTGATCTATTATCATATTAGTTCTCTTTCCTATCTATTGAAATGAATTATTGCTTTTAGGTGGAATTCGATGAAATCTCGCAACAGATATCAAAAGTGAGAGTTAATTATGGTTCCGAAACAGCTCAGGATCCTAATGTAAAGGATAATCTTTTGCTTTGATTCTTTTATTCTTGGATTTTTTGTAATAAAATTTATATGCTTTTCGGAAATAGGTCGATAATCTATTGACCGCCCAATTACAGTGAGTCTTTCCGCTACTATACACGGGATCCACTTAAAATAATTGATATTCAAAAACCTCGTTGAATGAAATCCAGATCTAGGAATATCAAACTTTTTCGGAAAAATTTTTCAGCATTGCACAAACTTGATGAATTCTGCAAAAACTATTCGGAAAATGATTTTTTTTTTGAACGGATTAAATCCCTGAGCACCGATATATTTTCCATATATGAAAGAGAACGGTGTGTATCGTTATTAATTGCTATTGTATAGTTTCTTATATACGTGTATTGAATGAAGATCATCATTTTTCTTTTCAGGGTTATAGTCCAAGATGATACTTCTAGAATATTGACACATGGTCATGGTCTTCCATTGAATAATATGGATAAAATTGGTCCTTCTATTGCTTTTTGGGCTCCTCGTTATGTTATTTTGGAAACGAATTGGGAGCTAACGGTAGTAAAGCAAATTTTGAATCAAGGTATACACAGAAATTCTCGTTATATATTTTATTTATATAAAAAATTTATCATGATCAATTTATATAGGACAAATAAGTGTCATGCACGATTCTTTAAAAAGATTTCATCGCCTATGGATCACCATGGAGGAATCACATGTTATGAATGAATTTTTGCCTTCGAATACTTCATATTTGTTGGTTGGTGACGATATAGATGAGAATCTCAAATCGAGGTATTTTCATGTTCAAAAAGATGGAATTGTTATCATAATTATCATCTATGTCTAAATAAATTTTTCTTCAGGTTTGACGTTATCCCAGATGCCACTTGTACAAATATTACTTCGCATATTACATCAGAACCTTCGCCGCCATTGAAATTTATATGCCCCAAGAAGGATGCTATCGAATCAGCATATGTTCAATTTGTGGCGTGGCTTGAACCAGCAGTGTATGTTTCTGATAGTGTAGCGAGGACGATTGGAAACCTTGCTTCTATAAAAAGCAGAGGTAATAGAGCGTAGTAATCGATGCAGTCATTCTATCTTTAAACAATTTAACATTTTTTGGTCATTTTGAAATCAGGTCACATTGTAAGCTCAATGTTTGATAGTAGTAATATGGTAGAGGCTATTTCTTTAGAAAAACTCCTAGTAGGTGATGATAATGATGCTCTACGGATCTTTTTCTTTAATGAACATATTATGAAATATTCGCAAGTCTTTATGTGCAGATTCAAGACGCTGTTCCGAATCCTACATTGGCCACACTTTCCAGTTCACTAAGTTTGGAAGCACGCTGGGAGATGGTGATAATTCTTGTTCTATTAATTATCCTTGGGAATAAACTTTGAAGATAACATGGACTTACTTTCTTTTGTAGCAAATTGATGAGTCATCACCTTTACAAATTTATAGTTTTGCAAGTCAAGATCAGACTTATGCACGAAAAATTGACCGTATTCCTTTTATACACCCTGTTGACCTTTATGAGGCAATAAAGGTAAAAACAAAAAACCCCAATTTTTAATGATTATATCTTTATTTATTAACAATCTCTTTCATGCTTATTCTATACAGCTTTTACGGCAGCAACTTACCTTTAACACTATATTCCAAAGCATCTTTAATTCAACTAGTTATCGACCAACGTCTCATTTCGTGCATTCTGAAGAAACAATGTTCGGAGGTTGGTCGGTAGATTGTATTGAAATTCATCACTTTTAAGTAAATCACTAATACATTTTCTGTATTTGCTTAACGAAAGAAACCATTCCATCATCTATCAATCTGAAAGTCATGACCCAAGAACCACCCAAACAAATGCTACTCACCCTCGAGCTTCCCAAACAATCTTCACTATCATTACAAATAGTGATACTGACCGAGGACGGGCAACCATATGTGGTGACGTTGCAAGGCGAAAGTGCTGAATACGACCGGAAAATGACACAAGTATTACAAATGTGTCAAAATGTACCGATGCTTGTCAGATGGATATGGAAGTCGATGATGAGTTCGGATGTTGCTGCAGATGACGGTATAAGCAGTATTGTTGTAAAGATAAATGAGGATGACGGTGAACATCAAAACGGAAATGAGAGTGTGGCTCCGTTGGTGATTCAAATGCAAGATGCTAATATAATTGAGACTGGTGATGTGCAACCATTCACTTTGGAGGAATTAAAAGATTTAAGTTAGGTAGGCAAAATGTTATTTTATTTAAATTAATTTTGGTAAATAGTTTTGATGAATAAATGAAAATATAGTAATAAATTGTAAGAATTTGATTGATTCTGAAATATTTAATTACACTGGAGAAGTTTTTCCCCGATTCGCCAATGTGAATCTTTGTCCGAGTTCAATTCAATAACTTATATCATTCGCTGAAACATAACTGATGCGTTGCACAATTCAAAGGGTATGATTATTTTTAAGAAAGCAGTTTTTTTCCACTTAGATTTGCCAATATCTAAAAGTGAGATCAGGTGTTGCAGAAACACTCGAGATATTTAATATCTCATCAATGTTGAAAGATATGAATCCTTTTTTCAGTTTGCAGCCGGATTTGAGCATTCTAAATAGGTCTTTTCCTTCAGTGGAGTGTTTATTCGGTCCCCCGTTGTTTTCAAGTAGTGCATCCAGTTTTTGATATCAATTTCACTTGCATTATTCTTTTTCTTAACGTTAAGGAGTTTAATCTGGCATGAATCTAAAAATATTTTACAAATTTGACATTGTCATTGTATTACATTATTTATATAGGTATCAATATGTGAAAGATTATAATTTATGCTCTACTGCTGAATTTTTTGAAGAATTATCAAATGTTATTCTATGCAATGCTAATTAGAATTTTACATGATGAAATCCAGCCAATCGAAAATAATACACGTGATATTTCAGGTGCTGAAAATCTCACTATTATTATGTTAAAAAAAATTTACTACAAATAAATTTTATAATAAAATGAACATATTAGATTATATCAAAGGCTATTTGATAATGTATTTGTTTTAATGATTATATATTTGTAATAAAATTCCTTTGCAGTTCAAAGTATTGGATGTCTTTAGACTGCGCGCACCATAGAAAACTAATATAAAACCTAATTAAGTCCAGGACGGGAAAGCAGAAATCCATATTTCTAATAGAAAATATACAGTCAACTCCCTGTTTAATAGGTCTAATAGACATGGGTTTATAATAAATGCGATTATAAAATCTAATTATTAACAAAAAAAAATCTTGATGTCTAATACCACTACGACTACAATCGCCAAAAACAACACGCGTTTCTTCAAACTCCCTTCAAAGAAGTTTTCCGCGTTTCTTGGAGTATGTACAGTACTAGGGGGACTTTTATATCGTGATAACTACTTATCGAGTTGCGGTAAAACTCGAGTTCAAGCTAAGGTAGCGCATATAGCAAACCAACCATTAGCTGTGAACGAGTTACCACGTAAAGTGACTGTGTGCCTGGCACCGCCTGGTGGGGATGGAATACATAAAACGAGAATACACTTTCGTGAATATGTCAAGGTATTTTGTTAAATATAAAGAAACTCGAGAAAATTGTTATTGATTTAGATTGATGTTTGTTGAGTTTTATGAAAATATGAATTGTTTTATGTTTTAAAGAGATTTAAGCTCAACCACATGTATATATTAATCTCTCGAATCAATGAATGAAATGTGATGATTAGCCAGTATTGGTGGCGGCTGCTTTGGATTATGATGTGCTTGAAGGAACGAGACCAGGTCAACTAAGATCATTAGTACGCGATTCTATAATAAAGCAACGAAAATTAAAAGCAGCAGAATCGATCGCTACAGAAACAGCAACATCAACATTCTCCTCATTATCAGAACCCAAGGTCTCATCATCGTCGTCTACAAATACTGATGAAATACAAGAAAATAATGGCGGAGGTGGTGTGATTGTTATTGGACGTACCAGTTATGTAGAATATCTTCAAGGCTTGAACGATGGATATAATAATTCACTTGATGATGATGATGATGATGATAAAGATGGAAATGGAAATGGAAAAAGCGATTCTTCTGAAAAAAAGAATGACTCTAAGACATTTTTAACAGCATCATCATCCTCGCCCTCCTCACTTTCTCCACCCACTTCTTTACCCGATTTCTCTATCCCGGAAAAACATGAACCGATTGGTTACATACACTTTTATAATCGCATCGGATGGATGAATATACCATTACGAATGTATCACGCATTTAATTCTCACGAAAATTTTGATCTTGCTGGCGAAGAAACTGTCAAAGTTGCACTAGGCGATACGCGAGAATTTTCAAATGCCGATTTGGAAATCGGAAAAGACGAGGAGAAATTTTTCAAAGGAGTGTCGATTGACGAACCTGTGCTCGATGAAAAGATTGCTGGACGGTTATTTGTTTATAATTAAAAAATAAATTTCCTCTTCATTTTGATTGTATTTTTTTATGAGGGGATCCTCTTTAAACGTCTCGGTTGTCTCAAAAATATTGTTATTTACTATTTATGGGATAGTGTAATGAGAATATTATATCGATATATATATATATAGATAAGTGAGTCTCGAATAACGACATTACCCTCAATCAGTAGACATGCTCGATATAATGTATTTGAAAATTTTTACTATTGGAACCAAGGGTGTCATTATAGCGTGACCCACTTTTATAAACAAGAATGCCTTTCTCACAATTTGACAATAATGGAAATTATCATAGTGCAAGAATCCATTCCCATAGTCGAGGATATTTTTATCCTTGGAACCAATTTTTTTCTCAAAGAAAAACATCCAAGACACGAAAAATAAACTGGCGCAGGCAGTTTTAGTTGCAGATTTGCATAACTTTGTGGCTTAGTCTGTTGTTAGTTAAATAACAGTCATGTTCAGCCTCATGTTTACTCTCTTTGCTTGCTTTTTATCAATTCTCATACTTTAAAAAAAAGTAAATTTTAACTCTTCGAAAAATATTCATTTTTTTTAGTTGTTTGTTTCTTGGCTTTTATTAATAAAATTAATAATAATTATAATCATTTATTTTTTAGTTTTTTTATTAATAACATTAATAATAACTATAATAATAATGTAGGTTTTTGGATATAATAATAAGAAAAGAACAACAAATAATTCAAATGTCCTCACCATCGGTTTTTCTTTCTTCTATTCTTACCATACATCCAAAAATATACCAAGGTCTGGTCAAAATGAGAAAACTGAAATGATCAAAAAACAAATAGAGTCTACTACAAGCCAATTAAACAAAACCCTTAGAGATTTGTCTGATCGTGAACAAAAACTCGGGGAACTCGAAGAAGCTACTGGTAAATCATCATCGTTACTTTCTATGAGCTATTTATCATGATTATCCTATCTATATTCACATGCTCTAAATTTAAAATTAAAATTGCATATTCAGCAATGCTTGCAGAAGATACGCATGCTTTCTCCAGTTCTGCTCATAAAGTTCAACGAAGAATGTGCTGGAAGAATGCAAAAATGACCATAATTCTTACTATAGTTGGCATATTGATATTGGCGGCGATCATTAGTAAGTTCTTATCCCGATCAATGTGTCAATCAATTCTATTTAACTAATCTCACTTTCTCATATCATTGTATATATATATATATATATAAAGTTCCGACGATTCTTAAATTCCAAGGAAAAATTTAATTTTTGATTATCAGAGAGAGCTCAATTAATTAATCATTCATTCAGCTAATCTTCAATGTATGTGTATATTTATATATTTAATTAAAATTTTGTAATAAAATTATCAAAGATGTGTGTAGTTCTTTTTCAGATTAATTATACATTGAACAATGCACAAGAAGCATGACTATTTTTTGGTTTGGTCGTATAATTTTATGTTGTACCAACAAACAAAATTTAATTGTGAATTGTTTCGATATTCTCGAAAATAAACAGTTTCCACAATCCCTTTAAAAAATTACCGGTTAGAAACCGTATTGTCACTCTTTTCAATCTATTCATACTATCTATATATATATACCCGCTCACTTTGTAAAAAATGACTGTACAGGTGTCTGTTCAGTTCGAGCTAACTCAAGTTAATTGTGGAATTGACGTGTCACAACCTGTCGCTACTGTAATCAAGGCACTATGCCTCGAACATTTCAACATCCAAGAACCTGCCGCTCTTTACGCTTTGAGGTTGCAGGATTCAAAGGAACTCATAACTGACGAAGTATGTTTTTATGGTCTTTTTTATGTAATTTTCCTTCTCACTTGTATTTTTTTTTAGAATTTTCGGCGCAAAGTTACCGAAAATGAGCGTCTAAAATTAGTTTCTTCACCAGTTATAGAAGCTGCTGAAATTTGTGAAAAAATGGGATCAAATGACGATAAACTTTTGAAACAGACTACATTTGATCTGCAAAAACTCATGAGGGTTAGTTAGTTAGTTAGTTAATCATTTTTAAAGAATCATTTATCAAAGAGATTAACTTATATTAAAATTAGGAAGTGGAGTTTGTTGATGAATTTTTAAAAAGAGGAGGTTTGAAATCTCTAATGGAGACTATAAATACAACTGCTGGAAACACTTTAGCATATGCCTTAACATCAATGCAAAATCTAATGGAACATGATCACGGTTGGGAAAATCTTGATTCTTTTTTCATTAATAAGGTTAAATCTAAAGCAATCCATAAATTTGGTATATTAAAATATTTTATATTGATCATTTATTTCTTTAACAATAACTACGACAATAAAAGGTCATTAAAATTCTCGTCAGACAAACGCTTGTAAACATTTGTCGACCTGCAACAGCCATCATCATAAAACTGGTTACCGCCGATAAAAATTCAACTACTTCACCAATTCGATGCTATGGTTTTGATGTATTGCACGATGCAATGTTACTTCAACCAAACTTTCTGGCAACTTTGGTACAACGATTGGCTTCGGCGGATTATGTTTTGTGCTTGAACAGCTTGTGTTTAATCAATGCTCTCATGCGTCATGTAACAGATCAATATTGGGAATCTTTTATGAACATGTTGGATAAATTGTCTGTTAGAAAGGCTGTTGCGGTTTGTTTATATACATATATTTTGCACATACGCACGCATGCACGCATATATATATATGCATTTAGCGTTCATCTTTTTTGGTTATAGCTTCTTATGAATGGACATCCTGGCGAAGAATTGTCCAAACACCTTTTGGAGTTTCAATCACTGTTTGTTCGACAAGCTTATCGATGGAAACGTACTCAAGTATCACTTCACATCCCTTCGCATAAAGCGATCTTGGAAGAATTGTGGACCTCGGCGAATTTATCAGACGAAGGATCAAAATGGAGAAAAATTGGATTTACGGTATGTTTTAATTAGTGATTATAGTCTATGGATTTATGACTCTCCGTTAATTGGTTCAATAATCTTATTTTAGACTGAGGCCCCAAAATGGGAAATTCAACGTGTTGGATATTTGGGTTTGGATAATATGTACAGCTTTATGAAACGTGATATTGAGTATTATCAAAAGGTTTACTATGTGATATTTAATTTACTTTCAATTTAAAATGAATTATGCTAAAACTTTCTCACCAAATAATTATTAGACTTTACTAGAACAAATTAATCGTCCGGTCGAGCGCCGTTGTCCTTTTGCAAAAACATCGATTGAGGTAATAGAATTATTGTGTGATTATTGGGATATAAGCACTGGATGTGAGTAAATCATCGCTTATTAGAAAATTTGATTATTTGATAATCGCATTAATAAATAATCCACATCACTAAATTCTCTACGCTATTTTTTCCTCTTCAAGATACAACATCAACTTCATTTCAACCGCTTCTCCTACATTTTGAAAAAATCCATTATATTACCGTAAAATCATTTTTCCGCATGTGGCATGAAATGGAAGCTACTGTCGAGGATTTTCCTAAAGTTTCAGCGTTAGTACGCAGTCAATTGAAATTTGCATTACGCGATGAGGCCACCAAACAATTGTACGAATTCGAGAAAGATATGCTGGAAGTCGAGTATAAAGTTATCAGAGATAGACAATTAAAAGAATTGGAATTGGGTGATGATTTATTGAGCAAAACTCCTGTTAGGTGTGTTATTCATTTTTCTTGTTATAAATTTTATTGTAAGAATCACAACAATGTAATCGTAATTGTATATTTTCTAATTCCAAAGAAATTTACGAGGAAAATTGTACACGGAATCATATGAATTCGTGAAATCGCAAAGAATCAGGTGTCTTCTATTGGGTGCCTGGTTTCAAATATTGACTCCTACTGCAGTGCCATCCGGAAATCAAAATTATGGACGTCGTTCTTCAAATAAAAAATGGCGATTCTATCGATTGAGTCCAAATATTAAGTTTCTTCATTATGGCGATTTTCCGGAAAAGTGTACAGTAAGAGATGGACTGGAAGGTTTGCCCGAGCGGAGTGAGTTTTTTTTCTTTGATACAAACATTTTTCTAAATTTTTTCATGTAGGAATATTAACGTGAATGAATTTATTTTTTTTGATAATACATGCAGTTGACCTTACTTTGGTCACCGACGTAATAACAGGATACCCCAATCAACTAACTCCCATTTCTGGATCTCCACCTCGCACTAAACCCCTCCACTCAACAAACGACTTGACATTTTCGCTAATGTCAGGACCAGACACCTCCCTCGCCGATTTTGCCGCACTGAATCCCATACAATATTCCGAATGGACGGACGGCTTCAACATGTTATTCGATAAAAATATTGGCAGTAAGGATACCGCGGAGTTTATTCATGTCTTAACGGAAATCGGGGTCAGAGTTAAACTGCTCGATTTAAGTGGTGAATGTGTGGAAATCCCGCAGACTGTTGAAGTACCAAGCGAGTTACCGGTTGTAGGGCCCAATGGACATGGATTTTTTTATGACGATCCATTTGCGTAAAAATTGGTTGAATGGTTTTTTATTGTTATTAACAATATTTTAGGTTCTATAATAATGCTAAATTATTATTTGTTTGCTATTATTTAGATAGTCTAGATATTATTATTATTGTTATTGTCATTTTTGTATCATTAGAGGGTGTATGTATGTATACGTGTATGATAATGATGGTAAATTATTGTATACTATTATTATTATTCGTGATGTAGTTAATCATAAAAAAAGCACATAATTAAGAAATATTACTTAATATCTTCTTGGACTAGTGGATCTATTACGTCGACGTCCAATTCTATTTCTAATGTTCCTATCTCGATCCCTTTCCGACACTAAGACTGGCGTCGGTGGTCGTATGAAAGCGAAATCACAATGCAGAACTTGTCCATAGAGTTTTTGACCATTAACTGCTTCAATTGCATTCTTTGCTTCTTTGTATGTCTCGTATTCGACAAGAGCGTAACCCTTTAGGACGTCATTTCGAGAGTCATGGTGAGTAAATATCTAATCAAGGAGTTATTAAATTAATTAGATACTCACCTTTACGAAACCTGTCCGACGATCCAGATTTAAATGTATATTTTTTATTTCACCAA